TGTGGGCTGAGAGGCTGCGGTGGGCACAGTGGTGGGTCTTGGCCCATCCACCGCACCCCTGCCTGACCCCTCCTGCCGCGGCCCTGGACCCCTATCTGCCAGCAGCCCTGCTGTTACTCCTCTGTAGGTAACTGGTGCCTTCATTCTAGCTTTATACGCTCTACTGTGAAAACTGGATGGGGCTGTTAATCAGTGATTAGTCACTGTTGATTTATTGATTCTAGATAGGCCATCTCTTCTTCCTCCATCTTCTTTCATGGCATAGTAGAAGGGTGTTAACTCCCACTGTAATTATAGTGTCATTTTACCTGCTTGAATATGCTAAATAACTCCCTGGACAAGAAATTCAGGCTGTTAGAGAAGGGCGGATGAAATGGAAACAGCTTTCTAAATTACTGCTGATTTTGTGTGTGTGAGGGGAAAAAAAAAAAAATCTAATTTCCTACCTGCACAGAATAAAACATTAGACTAAGTTTTCGGTAAATAACATCACCATAAACACATGAGTACTGAGTTGTACTCTGACTTTAAGACCTTATTGTGGCTATGATGGCTGTGGCAACATTAGGTAATAGGAATGTTTCAGCTCCATTATAATCTTACTAGAGGCCCGAGGCACAAAAATCATGCAAGAGGTGCAGCCCTGGCTGCCTCATCTGGCCCTTGCAGCCCCAGCTGGCCTTTGCAGTCTTGGCCAGCCCTCACAGTCCCTCCCAGTCTTGGCCACTCTTACAGCCCCGGCTTTATCCAGAAGAATGCCTGGAAGATTGTTCGGCTGTTTGGTCTAATTAGCATATTAGCTCTTCATTATTAAGACTAGAGGCCCAGTGCATGAAATTCATGCCTGGGGGGGTGTCCCCCTCATCCAGCCTGCACCCTTTCTAATCTGGGACCCCTCGGGGGATGTCTGACTGCCGGTTTAGGTCTGATCCTGGGCATTGGGCCTAAACCGGCAGTTGGACATTTCTCTCACAATCCTAGACCACTGGCTCCTAATCACTCATCTGCCTGCCTGCTTGCCTAGTTGCCCCTAACTGCCACTCCCCGCTGGTCTGATCTCCCCTCACTGCCTCTACATGCCAGCCTGATTGCCCCTAACTGCCCCCCCTGCTGGCCTGGTCACCTTCAACTGCCCCTCCCCATCCCCACTGGCCTAGTCTCCCCTCACTGTCCCCTCTGCCAACCTAATCACCTCCAACTGCCCCCTCTGCCAGCCTGGTTGCCCCCCATGGCTCCTTGCTGTCCTATGCAGCCTGCTTGTTCAGTTGTTTAGTCGTCCCTCACCTCCCTGCTGGCCTGGACATAGGCAGCCATCTTGTGAGGGTGTGAGGGTTAATTTGCATGTCACATCTTTATTATCTAGAATGGGACCACCATTGTATATATGGTCTGATGTTGACTGGAAGAAAGGTTGTTAGGCTGCATGTGACTGTATATGTTCAATAGAAATCAACAAATAAAATCTTAGTTGGTCATTTCAACTGATTTGCTTGAAAGAAGTTGAAATTTGAGTCAAGCTGAATTATGAAAAGGTTAAACAAAGAGCTTTTGACAGAGTGAAAATTGTGGAGTTTCTTTATTGAGTCAACAAACAAGTTGAGTATTCTGCCAAGGGAGAAGTGAACAATGACAGAGATATCTGTGAGGTGCTTTGGGGGCAAAGAAGGGACATCTAATTGAGCTTGAGTGGGTGAGGGAAGAGTTTCTAGGAGGACTCACCTCCTAGGAAGGTAATGTCTGAAATTTTTTCTTTTCCCTCTTTATTGGCTTTAAAACTTATTTTTAAATGCATAGTTATTGCAAATAAAGGTGTAAATCCCTAATTATACACCCTGCTCTCTAATCCCCATTCTCCAAAGTTGTCTTTAATAGATTGGTGAATATGTTTCCAGATTTTTTTCTATGTGTATACCATCAAAGTTTCCCCCCCAAAATTGGCCTCACACTTTAATTTTGTAACTTGCTCCCCCCAATGTAATAATCTCTTTGTTTTTCCATGTCAGTAGATATATATCAATCTCATTTAAAAACTTGCTGCCTCACATAATGGTATGGTATGGTACGTTATTTTTGATTGCTGGACATGGAGGTTTCCAACCTATTATAAACAATGAATATCGTTCTACCAAATTATTTTCTTTTGTGAATTAAGTTTTAAATGATGAGTAGATATAGTAGGTGAAGAGTATGAGGATTAATGGGAAGGAGAAACGTTTTCTGGATTAAGGGAACAATGTGTACTTTCAAAAAACACTGCTGAGGAAAATGACAGACTTAGGGGAGAAACATTTTTGTTTTTATGCATTTAAAATAAAGCACCTCTTGTTTTCCTGAACTGTGAGTTAGAGTATCTTATTTTATGGAATAGACACCTATTTACTGAATAATTTATAAATACATAATTTTACTTGTGAGATTAAAAATGTTTTTCAGTAAATGTAACCAATGGAGATGTGGGATCACAAGCTGATAAAAATGACTATTCACAAGTTTCACAGAGGTTAAGTTGATAGTTCTGGGAATAGAGCTTATATATTAGCTATCTTTCTCATTTTTCTGTTCTCTAATTGAGAATTTCTTATCCAGAGTTCAAAAGTTTTTTGAGTTGCTAGTCCCCACTACTATCCAACTGAAACAAATTTGTTTAATTAAAAAAGATAATGATTAGGAAGTTGCTAGTTTATCAAGAAGATATCTGAAAATGGTATATATGGCTTATAGTAGATAAATTGCATTTTGTTTTATGTTACTCTGAACAATAAAATTTTATTATACTTAAAAAGTTTTAGTTGCTGCTGTTTTGTTCCATATTTCTAATTTTTGAATATTGCCTGTAGTGTGACATCAAGTACTATACTATTATCCTATTTAATAGTATAGATAGTTTGGCTCAGTGAATAGAGTGTCAGCCTGCAGACTGAAGGGTCCGGGTTAGATTCTGGTCAGGGCACACGCTCAGGTTGTGGGCTTGATCTCCAGTGGGGGATGTTCAGGAGGCAGCCCATCAATGATTCTCTCTCATCACTAATGTTTCTATCTCTCTCCTTCCTTCCTCTCTGAAATCAATAAAAATATATTTAAAAAAAATAAAAAAAAATGTAAAGAGGGGATGTGCTAATTGACTACCACAAAAGATGGCGGTGCCCACAGCCAATAAGGAGGTAATATGTTAATTGACTATCACACCCTGTGTCCAGTCCCCTTAGCCCTGCTGGGCAGTAGGCGTGTGGCACGGCCGGGCCTGCACCCAGGTGGGTGTGGCCGCTACACACTCCTGCCTCAGAATTCCCCCAGTTCCCTCAGTCCCCCAGCTGCCCAGGGCTGGCCCGAGGGACGACCAAACAACTGAGCATGCAGGCTATGTGGGGTAACCAGGCCGGTGGGAGGTGCAGTTGGGGCAACCAGGCTGGTAAGCGGGGGAAGTTGTAGTGATTAGACTGGCAGGGGAGCAGTGAGGGGGGACTAGGCCAGTGGGGGTGGGGAGAAGCTAGGGGCGACCAGGCTGGCAGAAGGGGATAGTTGGAGGTGACCAGGCAGGCAGGCTGGTGAGCGATTAGGAGCCAGTGGTCCCAGATTGGAGAGGGTGCAATCTGGGCTGAGGGAACACCCTGCCCCCAATGCATGAATTTTGTGCACCATGTTTCTAGTATTTTTATCATAATCCTGACAAGTAAGAATATTTGCTCATTTTTTTAAAAACTAGAGGGGTGTGAGTGTGTATGTCCCTCAGCTCAGCCTGCACCCTCTCCAACCTGGGACTCTTGAGGGATGTCTGAATGCCTGTTTAGGCCCAATCCCGGTGAGCAGTCAGACATCCCTCTCACAATCCAGGATTGCTGGCTCCCAACCACTCTCCTGCCTGCCTGCCTGATTGCACCTAACTGCTTCTGCCTGCCAGCTTGATCACCCCCTAACCACTCCCATGCCAGCCTGATCAACACCTAACTGCTCTCCTGCCAGCCCTATTGCCCCTAACTGTCCTCCCCTGCTGGCCTGGGCCCCCTTAACTGTCTCCCCTTCAGGCCTGGTCACTCCCAACTACCCTCCTCTGCTGGTCCAGTCACCCCCAACTGTCCTCCCCTGCAGCCCTGGTCACCTCCAACTGCCCTCTCCTGCAGGCATGGTCACCCCCAGTTGCTCTTCCTTGCAGGCCTGGTCCCTCCCAACTGCCCTTCCCTGCTGGCCTGATTGCCCACAACTGCCCTTCCTTGCTGGCCATCTTGTGGTGGCCATCTTTGACCACGTGGTTAGAATGATGGTCAATTTGCATATTACCTCTTTATTATGTAGGAATCACTTTGGAAATAACAAATATCGCATGATCTTATATGTGGACTCCAATGAAGAAAATAAATGATGAACAATACAGATCCTGAAACATGCAACAGACTGACATATTTCAGAAGAGATTAAACAAATAATTTATATGCATATATACATAGTTCATGGATAAACAATAGTGGGGTAAAGCTTGCGGGGAGGGGACAGGAGGTAGATGAGGAGGTCAAGAATGGAGGGTAGGGGGACATTTGTAATACTTGCAACAATAAAATTTTTAAAAAGTACATTGCAATAAATGAAACATTAAACAAGGGTGGCATCCTTCTGAGCTATTTCTAAAAGTAAAAGATTTTCTTTTTGGTTGCCAAGGATGCTTGGCTGTTTGGTTACTTGTTGAATAGAAATCTGAACCTTTGTAAGGCTCAACTTCTAAAATTTCTTACTCATTTAAAAAATATATATTATGCTAAATAGTTCTAATTAGTTTTATTAATTTGAAAAGTATAAATGCTTTAAGTAAATCAGCTCAATGTGTTCTCTCATTACCTTAAATAATTGTATTATTTATTGTATTTCATGATTATGAAATGTTTATACTTCATGTGAATTACAATTTTTAAGCATTTATATCTATTTTTTTACTTGAGTAATTTTTAAGAGTAAAGTATACATTTAAAAACATAAAATAACTTATTTTGTATATAATTTTTTTTTTTTAGGGCTGCTTTAGAAGAAGTAGAAGGAGATGTGGCAGAATTGGAACTAAAACTTGATAAGGTAAATTTTACTTTTTTAACTTTTAAAACATTCTTATTTTCTATAAATAATAATTTGTGGTTATAATAGTAGATGATTCATATTACTTCTTTCATCTCTGTGTGGGTAAATGCTATTTTTATCCCAATTTTACACATGAGGAACTTGAGGCAAGGGACAATAACTAGCTTGTTGAAAGTCAAATCCAAGTGCCAGAGCAAGAATTTGAACCGTGTCTGGTTTTATTTTTTTGAAAGCTTATTAATTTTAGAAGGAGAAAGGCAGAAAGAAAGGCATAAAGAAAGAAAAAAAGAAATGAGAAAGAAAAAGAGGAAAAAAGAAACATTGATTTGTTCCACTTTTTAAAAAAAAAAAAATATTTTATTGATTTTTCACAGAAAGGAAGGGAGAAGGATAGAGAGCTAGAAATGTCGATGAGAGAGAATCATTGACCAGCTGTCTCCTACACACCCCCCACTGGGGATGTGCCCACAACCAATGTACATGCCCTTGACCGGAATCGAACCTGGACCTTTCAGTCCACAGACCGACACTCTACCACTGAGCCAAACCGGTTTTCGGCTGTTCCACTTATTTATGCATTCATCGGTTGATGCTTATATGTGCTCTGAGTGGGGATTGAACTTGCAACCTTGACAATATTCTAAACAACAGCTACCCAGCCAAGGCCTCGTGTCTGACTTTAAAGCTCACTATATATTCTTTATATTGTTGGAAGTTTGTTCCCTTTTTCTCCATCAAAAAGATTGTAACTATTTTTTTTTATACTAATAAATTTGTAAGTTCCTGTTTATAAATTTGAGTGTAGCCATGTTCAAATATACTATACAATACAATAAATACAATAAATACAATACAATAAAATAAAATCTCATATTTTTAAAAAGCTATTTCCAGAATGCTTAATATATATTTAATAATTAATATTAAGTGGCCATGTTCTCTGTAAAGCTAAATGTACATGGATTACTATCTCTATATTAATTATTGATAATCTTGGCTTTTTGCCTCTACTTAAGAGGCATTATCTGCTATACAACAGACAGAAATATGAGAATGACTAGGACATGGCTTCTGATCTTTCTTTAAAAATATATTTTTATTGATTTCAGAGAGGAAGGGAGAGGGAGAGAAAAATAGAAACATCAGTGATGAGAGAGAATGGATTGGCTGCCTCCTGCATGCTCCCTAACTGGCATTGAGCCTGCAACTGGGGCATGTGCGCTGACCTGGAATAGAACTGTGACCTCCTGGTTCATAGGTCAATGCTCAACCACTGAGCCATACTGGCTGGGCGTTCTAATCTTAAGTAACCCTTATTCAGTGAAAAATTTCTGGAAATAAATCAGATGCATATATTTAAATTATCTTTTTAGAAAATAGTTTCTATTTATATAATTACTAGAGGCTGGGTGCACGAATTCATGCATATTTGTGGTCTCTAGGTCTGGCTGGCAATCAGGGTCAATCAGAGCTGGGCTAATTGGGGCCTGTGAGCTGCAGGGAGGGATAGGGGAGGGACCACAGGCCAAATGGGGCTTGCTGGCGCTGGAGGTTGGCTACAGGCCCTAAGGAGGGAGACGGCCCTTGGCCCTCCTAGGAAAGGGGCCATGTCCACCACCACTCACCTCTGGTTCCCCATCCCAGCCCAGGGTCTGAAGGCCCCAGTGGGGTCAGGAGAGGAGGTGACTGTCACCAGGCCAGGCACGAAAGGAATGGCTGCTGCCACCAGTCAGCCACAGGAGGTTGGCTGTGGGAGCACACTGAACACCAAGGGGCAGCTCCTGTGTTGAGCCTCTGCCTCCTGGTGGTTAGTGTGCATCATAGTGACTGGTTGACTGGTCATTCTGGTCATTTGGTTGTAATGGTTGCTTAGGTTTTTATATATATAGACTTTTATATATATAGACTGTAAGCCTGATGACGAAATTTGTGCAAGAGTAGGCCTTCCCTCCCCCAGCTGCTGGCACCAGCTTTCCTCTGGCACCTGGGACCTGGACTTACCTCTGGCCTCCGGCAGGCACCCGGGATTTGGGCTTCCCTCGCAGACCCGGCTTCGTCCGAAGGTCGTCTGGTCTAATTATAGTAGCATATTATGCTTTTATTATTATAGATTATGGCAAATAGTATTGCTATGTAAAGCAGTGCTTATGTGTTTAGATTCTTATCACCTGGGGATATTATGTGAAAATATAGATTCTGATTTAATAAGTCTGGAGTATCTGAGATTCTTTGTTTCTAACCTAATTCCAGGTAATACTTATGCTGTTGTTCCAGGACTGCACTTTGAGTAGCAAAGAAATAAAAATTAGTCTGATGATTTTTTCAAATGTTTTGAAATCTTGAAATATACATACATAGGTATATAATGTAAATAGTATAGAAACTATATAAAAACAGTTTTAGTTATTTATGTAAAACATACAAATTTTAGAAGTATTTTGTTATAGTATGTTTTTGGATTTTTATAATAGTCCTGAAAGGTAGGTAGGACAAGTGGTATTATTCCCATTTTAGAGCCCAGATGGCAAAGGGTTCTTGCTTCATATCATAGTTAGAAGAGGCAGAATCAAGATTAGAACCTATATGTTTTTATTCTTAGTTCAGTGCTCTTGTGTACCACTGTATTTTTTGATCAATATTAGGGGAACATATGCACTTAAACATTTTCTGAGGAAACTAACAAGCTTCCAGGCAAGTGTTTTTAAGAATTAATGTTATGATTTTTTATAAGAATATTGTTTTTAAAACTACCTTTTTCTTAAAAATAAATGTCTGGGGTTATTATTATTATTATTATTATTATTATTCTAGAGGCTCGGTGCACGAAATTTCATGCACTGCTTGAGTCCCTCAGCCTTACTTGTGCCCTCTTGCAGTCAGGGATCCCTTGCTCCTTACTGCCTGCCTGCAGTGGAGGCACAAGAGGCTCCAGTCACCATCACCGTCACTGCCACTGCACTCGCCAGTCATGAGCTCAGCTTCTGGCTGAGCAGTGCTTCCCCTATGGGAGCTTACTGACCACCAAGGGGAAGCTCCTGCATTGAGCGTCTGCCCACTGGTGGTTAGTACATGTCATAGCGATCAGTCATTTTGCCATTTGGTTGGTTTGCATATTGGGATTTTATTATAGAGGATAATTCCTGAGGTATTATATTCGTTTTTGAGCACTCTTTAAAACAGTTCTTAAACCCTCAAGGTAGGCAACAGAAGACACAATTTTGATCTTCTGGTAGATTTATGAGAGAATATATAAAAGGCAAAGCTTTTTTAAAGATTCAGAGTAGTATAATAGGGCATCTATTCTCTTTTGGTAGAACTGCATGTAAATCACATGAAATTTTTTGGGATTGAGGAGAGCCTTACAATTTAAAGTATCTAAACAGTCCACTGACAGAATTTTTGTTAATGACTTTACTTTTATGAGTGTTTTTTTTTTCTTTTGTATCATTTAGTTTGAGTTGGAAGACTGATAGAATTCTAAAACCAAAAGATTCAAATCCGAAACTAGTTATTAAAGTTTGACATTTTACTCTCAAAGGGCTCCTTAAAGGCACCGTGGAACCTTTGACTTTTATGAAAATATCATCTATCCAAAAAGAAGTTCCATAATTATTTTTATATTTTTCTAATTTAAGATCTTAATTCCTTATAAAGGTCCCTTCCCAAATTCTTAAGCTGTTATCTATCATTTTCACTTTAGAATTATGAGGAGTTAGCATAGAGCAGAGAGCCTGAGAGGTGCCAGAATGGTTGTTATTGAAGGTAGTGGCATTGAAGGACTAGTGGAGGGGAGAGGTTGCCCAAGACTAGTTTAGTGATTTCATAACTTTGTGCAGCGCAAGTTTCACCTTTAATATTGTAAATCATGCCAGGAACAGGTTAAACTAGCTTGATGACTTAGCTTATATTTATTTTGCTTATAGTGTATGCCACTCTTCCTCATGAATATTGCTTCATGAGTGGCATTGCTTTAATGGGTCCAATTATTTGTCAGTTGTGGCAGGTATTTGGGCATTCAGATCATAGAGCATCATAGTTGCCATCTAGACAATTTCTGTATCTGCTGCATTTTCTCACTGGAATACTTGCTCCCTGTTTGTTAAGTAGATGCCCTTTAAATCACAGCTCAGTTGCCTGGCTAGTGTGGTTCAGTGGTTGAGCATCAACCAATACACCAAGAGGTGGTTGATTTGCTTGGGTTGCAGGCTTGATCACCATTGGGGGGTCTGCAGGACATAGCCAGTTGATGTTTCTCTCTCTTCTCCAAAAACAAAACAAAAACAAAAAACCATATTTAAAAAAATCACAGCTCAATTACGACCCAACTTAGGTTTTTTTTTTTTCTAGTGTAATACTGTAATTTTTGTTTTTTAGCAGTTATGAGACAAAGACTGCCTGCATTTGAATCTGGTTGTACCACATACTAAGCTGTATGGTCTTGGGCAAGTTCCTCAGCCTTCCTATGCTTTAGTTTCTTCATCTCCAAAATAGGGAAAATAAGAGTTCTGTCTTAGAAGGTTACTAAAGGCCTGATGCATGAAATTTGTGCAAGGGGGTTGGCCCTCAAAGCCTCGGTGGCTGCCTCGGTCCTCGCAGCCCTTGCTTTGTCCAGAAGGTCATTCTGCCATCCAGTCTAATTAGCATATTACACTTTTAGTATTATAGATTATGAGAATAAGATATGTTGATACATGTTAAGTGCTTAGCACAGTTCTTGGCACATAATAATGTTAATGATAATGGTGCTCAACACCAGAAAAGAGAAATCCAGAGTCTGAAAGTAGAATAGTGCTTGCTTGAGAGAGGATAGGAGTGACTGCTAAAGATACAGAATTTCCTTTTGGGGTGAACAAAATGTTCTAAAATTAGATAGTGGTTATGATTGCACAATACTGTGAATATACTACTAAATTGTGCAATTTAAAATGACGAATTTTGTGTTAAGTGAATTTTATCTCAAAAAAATAATTACAAAAAAAAAATGGTGCACTGAAAGGAAAGTGAATTTAAAAGAACTCTGAAATATCAGAAGTAGATAGATTAAAAGACTAGGAATCTATATGAGCTTGAAGAAGAGAAGTAATACGAGTAAAGACTGTAACTGGAAGAACTGGAGATTCAAGTCAGAAAGATATCAGCATTCCAAATCTCAGAGATTAGAATTTTGGTTGGTGAGGCATAGAACATGCCCTGAAGATAGGTATCAATATTAGAATAGAGGTCACTATTACAGGAGATGGAGAGAAAATGAAATTGTCATATAGTTGAACCAAATACACAGTCCCAGACTCTAACTCCTCAGAACTTTGCTTTAGCCACCTTTCTTTATTTCCTTCTCTACTACCTCTTTATTTTAAGTAGATAAAATAAATGTCTCTTGATTAAAAACAAAACAAAAGAAAACCTCACTTCTGACAAGGAAGTGCAAATCTTTGTTGAGTTATTACCATGTGCCAGTAGCAGATTGGGCTAAGATCTTTGAGTGTGTTATCTTGATTCTTTTATAGTAACCTTATTTGGTTTGGTACCTGTTACCAAATCATACAGAAGATACCGAGGCTTGTTGAAGTAAATGAGGTCAGTTAGGATTACCTTGATGGTTAAGTATGGCAGCAGGATTTGAATCTAAGCTGCTTGAGTCCAGAGTAGCTATCTATAACAAGACTATGTATTTGCATATATGTATATATATATATGCACATATATATGTATGTATGCATATACACTGAATGGCCAGAAAATTATAATCTCTGAACGCATAATAATCTGGCCATTCAGTGTATATATATACATATTAGAGGCCCGGTGCATAAATTTGCATGGGTGGGATCCGGCCAGCCTGCCCAGGGGGAAGGGACATGGCAGTTGGCCAGCCTGCCTGCTGGTTGTACTCCTGTCAAGGGGACAATTTGCATATTAGCCTTTTATTACATAGGATATATTTCCTTCATATAAAATGTGAACCCCCTTAGCATTACACACAGGCTTTTCCTGATCTGGCTCTTGTATACATTTTCATGCTGCACTAAGGTACTTCTTGTTTGCCCTGTCCTCTTAAACTTCTGGGCCTTAGATCATGCTCTTCATAAAGTAGTATCTTTCCATTACCCATATCTCATTGGCTTTTCCTATTGTTCTTCAGGACTTCTCTCAAATGTTACCTTTTCCAGGAATCCTTCCTGATCCCCTCAGTCCTAGTTAAATGTTCTCCTTTGTTCCCTCAATGAGTACCAGATTATTGTGTGTTCAGAGATCATAATCTGGCCACTCAGTGTATATATCAAATAGTTGACATAAAATGTATAAATATTATGTTAGTTTCAGGTACACAGCATAGTGATTCAACATTTATATATTTTACAGTGATTACCACAGTAATTTTAGAAACCATCTGTTGCTCTATATAGTTAAGATATTATTGACTCTATTCTATGCTATACATTACATTCCCTTATCTTATTTCATAACTAAAGTTTATACTTCTTAATCCCCTTCCTCTTTTTTGCCTAATTCCCTACCCCACTTCCCTTTGCTATCAGTTTGTTCTCGTTATGTATGAGTTTGTATTTTATTTCATTTATTTTATTTTTCAGTAATTGTCTTATTCTTTCTGAGTTATTTTACTTAACAAAATACTTTCTAGGTTTATCCATGTTGTCTCATATGACAAGATTTCATTTTTTTATGGCTGAGTAATATTCCACTGTATGTATGTATCATGTCTTCTTTTTTTTTTTTTTTTAAAGATTTTAAAATTTTTATTGATTTTTTTACAGAGAGGAAGGGAGAGGGAGAGTTAGAAACATCGATGAGAGAGAAGACCTCCTTTATGGGGTCTTCACTCCACTTTTTGCCTAGAATATAGCACTGTAGGGCTGATACTCTATTTCCTGATGACTCCTTTGTCTGTATCTATAACACACTCTTATATTTTGAGCTTCAAACATCTGTTTTCACTGGTGTTTGATAGATTTTCCCATTTGGCTTATTTCATAAGCTCATTTAGCTCAACCCACTTCACAGGTCCAACACTGTTAACACAGTCTGCTGGCCAGTGTGATACTGAGTTTTGTAGCAGATGTAGCCCTCAGAAAGCAGAGCTCAGGCTCAATTTTAGTCCCTACTTTTTCCCCTTCTTAGGACATAATCTGCATAACTGTACACCATACTCAACTGTAATTTTTGGATTTGTTTCCCCTCTTCTCTCCCTACTTTATTGCTTTAATTCAGGCTCTGTGATCAAATAAGTCTGGAAAACTCAGTTTTTAAAATGTTAAGCAGATCTCCTTATTACTAACTTTAAGAGCTTTTGATATATTAATGTGTGGTGAGAATCCTACAAAGGAGTTATAATATGCAGCATTTCTCAAAAACATTATCCTGAATTAAGATAATATCCTGGGGGAAAAAACAAATATCTTTATCTTTATTCTTTATATTTTCCTACCTTTAGTTTTCCCCCTTTTAGTTTATCATTCTAAAATGGAACTCTGGGCAACACACCCAATTAATGCCATTAATTATTTCCTATTTCCTTCATATAAAATGTGAACTCCCTTAGCATTACACACAGGCTTTTCCTGATCTGGCTCTTGTATACATTTTCATGCTGCACTAAGGTACTTCTTGTTTGCCCTGTCCTCTTAAACTTCTGGGCCTTAGATCATGCTCTTCATAAAGTAGTATCTTTCCATTACCCATATCTCATTGGCTTTTCCTATTGTTCTTCAGGACTTCTCTCAAGTGTTACCTTTTCCAGGAATCCTTCCTGATCCCCTCAGTCCTAGTTAAATGTTCTTCCTTTGTTCCCTCATGCATGGTTTTGTCATGTAAAGCAGTTGTGTTTGTGCTGTATAAAATTTATCCAGCCTCTAGAGCAGTGGTTCTCAACCTTTCTAATGCCGCAACCCTTTAATACAGTTCATCCTGTTGTGGTGATCCCAACCATAAAGTTATTTTTGTTGCTACTGTTATGAATCGTAATGTAAATATCTTTGTTTTTACCGTGGTCTTAGGCGACACTGTTAGCCTAAGTATAATGAAAATATATACAAGAGCCAGATCAGGAGAAGCCTGTCGTGACCCACAGGTTGAGAACCGCTGCTGTCGAGCCTAAGACCATCGGAAAACACAGATAATTACATTACGATTCATAACAGTAGCAAAATTACAGTAATGAAGTAGCAACGAAAATAATTTTATGGTTGGGGGTCACCACAACATGAGGAGCCGTATTGAAGGGTCGCGGCATTAGGAAGGTTGAGAACCACTGCTCTAGAATGAGAGCTCCTGGGAGCAGAAATGATATTTTCAATTTCTTTTCTACAAAGCCCCAGTGCTATGGTCGGAAAACTGCGGCTCTTTGGCCCCTTGAGTGTGGCTCTTCCACGAAATACCAGGGCCTGGGCAAGTCTATTTTGAAGAAATAGCATTAGAAGAAGTTTAAGTTTAAAAAATTAAGACTCTCAAAAGAAATTTCAATCGTTGTACTGTTGATATTTGGCTCTGTTGACTGATGAGTTTGCCAACCATTGCAGTGCAATAATTTTAAATTAGACTCCTGAGATCCTTTAGGTCTTTTCTGAAAATATTCTGGCTCTTTATCCTCCTTAGTACCCTTCCCACCTTCATATATGGTTCCACATTTACCTCTCCCCCCCTAGATTGACTGACTGACTGATTTTTCCCCCTTAAATATAGTTTTATTGATTTCAGAGAGGAAGGGAGAGGGAGAAACATCAATGATGAGAGAAAATCATTGATCGGCTGCCTCCTGCATGCCCCACACTGAGGATCCAGCTTACAATTCGGGCATGTAACTTGGCCGGGATCGAACCTGGGACCTTCAGTCTGCAGGCCTATGGTTTATCCATTGAGCCAAACCAGCCAGGACTACATTTATCTTTTTTATATTTATCTTTCACCCAAGATTTTGTTTGTTTAAAGAAAATCTGTGTCAGAATGGAAGATATAAAGAGGGAAGGAATGGAAAGAGAGAAGGAGGGAGGGGAAAAAGAGAAGAATGGAAGGAGAGAAAGGAAGGAAAAGAAGGAGAGGAAGGAGAGGAAGGAGAGGAAGGAGAGGAAGGAGAGGAAGGAGAGGAAGGAAGGAAGGAAGGAAGGAAGGAAGGAAGGAAGGAAGGAAGGAAGGGGAAGGGGAAGGGGAAGGGGAAGGGGAAGGAAAGGAGAAAAGCAGGTTCAGTTCTAAATCTTACACAATGGCCAGAACAGTAGGCATTGGAGAAAAATAATCAATTCAGACATCTGCTTAGCCTGATATTGAAATGACTAGCAGTACTAACCCACCATACCAGTTGCTTTCCTTTCTTTCAATATACCATAGTTTTTGTTTTTATTTTGAGTAACTTTTATCATACTGCTTGCTCTGCCTGAAGTTTCCTTTTCTTCCTCTGAAGAGATGTTTTAATAAATTAAAAAAATTATTTAACATTTACAAACTCTTTTTTCCCCTTTTTAAAATTCTTTATTGTTTAAATTATTATATATGAATCTTTCCCCCCCATTGACCTTTCCCCACTTGTTCCCACCCACTCCCCCAGCACATGCCCTCACCCCCCCTACTGACTGTATCTATATGCTATGCTTATATGCATGCATACAAATCCTTTGGTTAATTTATGGGATTGAATTTGACTTGATAAAATGATTTTTTTGTTATCAGATAATCTCTGGATCCTGAAAAGTCAACTTTTTGGTGTAATTTTCATATGAATTGCTTGTTCAACTACATAATTTGTAAAATTATTTTCAACCTGATGTAACGTTTTTCTTTTTCAGCTTGTGAAGCTTTGTATTGTGATGATTGACACTGGAAAAGCCTTTTGTGTTGCAAATAAGCAGTTTATGAATGGGATTCGAGACCTGGCACAATATTCTAGTAATGATGCTGTAGTTGAGGTTAGTATGTCAAAATGATAAATGCAACAAGACCTTAATAAATTATGCATCCATTTGCTTTATGAAGAGTTATAGTGGTCCTTAGGATTAGAAGTAGAAAAGCTGTCACCCATTGGTTCTATCTTGTGCAGTTCTGTCTCCTTGGATAGTTAGAGTTGATGGTTGATTTGTAATGTGAATATAAAGTTACTTACTGCTTGGTGAGTTGAAGCATCTAGAAGGATTGAGCACGAAGAGCAGGATCTTGCTTACTAGTAGCTGCTTATAGAGTAAAGCAGAGCATTAAATAGTGTCAACTGTATGTATAGGGGCTGCATAGGAAAGTTTTGGTCAGCTACCTATGCTAGGTTAGCCTAGACCCCTCACCATATTATGTGGTATTAATGACATTTCTTTTCATTAAGAATAATAGCAGGTGAAGAAATCGGTATAGTTTGATGATTATTTGATCCATAGATGCCTTTATGAGCATAGTCTTGATACACTCAGTTTTACTTTTAGATTTATATATGCCATTCCTATTTGTTAGCATAATATTATTGATAGGACAGTACTAACTCTTTGACTATTCTAGGGTTTTATGTTACTATACATACTTGACCTTTGTGGAGCATGCCCATGAGACATTGAGATTTTTCTTAGAATAAATGTTATTGTTAACAATGTAACTTGATCTTTCTCTCAGAAATGCTGAAGTAATGTTTTTTATGGCCTGTCTTAGTGGATTTTAAATAACTTATTTTTTTCTTTTGTTCTTTTTTCTCATAGACAAGTTTGACCAAGTTTTCTGACAGCCTTCAAGAAATGATAAATTTTCATACAGTAAGTGTCAGTAAGTAGGTATTAATATAACCATGTTATTTTAGTATGTCATTTTAGTGGCAGTATTTTATGAAATAATTTAAATTGTAATTCAGTGACTTTGAATTTGTCAACAACTTTTTAGTTGCATATTATCTAAAGTGTGTGTGTGTGTGTGTGTGTGTGTGAGAGAGAGACAGGGAAAGAGAGAGAGGTAGATAATTTTATTTCCTATTCTAAAATACTGAACTTATATTAATGAGGCACACATCTTTTAAGTTGTATCTTTGTAAATTTTTAATCAATTATTTTAAGAATGAAGAAGTAAAAGTCATTCTAAATTTAGTTATTTATTATTTCTTTTAAGATACAAATATTATATCCCATTTCTCTGATTACTTGCCAGTATTAAAGACTGCTGTATTATTTGATATATGTGTGTGTTTAATAAGTGGTGTTGAGCTGCAGTGGTTCATTGGTTGTGTGTTGACCTATGAACCAGGAGATCACAGTTAATTCCTCATATTTGCAGAAGTTGCAGGCTCAATTCCCAATTGTGCAGAAGTTAGCCAATCAATGATTCTTTCTCAACATTGATCTTTCTGTCTCTCTCTCCCTCTCCTTCTCCCTCTCTGAATCAATAAAAATATATTTTTTAAAAATTAAAAATAATATTTGAGGGCATTTTTTCCCACGGACAGAAAATAGTTCAGGGAATTCCCAAGGAGGGGAAGGGAGTGGGGTGAGAAAGGGTTAAATGGGGGGGGGGGTGACATCTGTAATACTTACAACAATAAAGATAAATTTTAGGAGGATCCAAGATGGCTGCTCGGGTAGACATCTAGCCGCGGCAGCACACAACAATTTCAATGGAATACAACTAAAATGTAGAGTGGACATTGCCCAGAGCTACAGGTAGTCGACTGACTGAAATTTCTACAACAAGAAGGAAAGAGAAAACCAGAAAGAAAATCAGAGGAGCTGAAAAAAAGCCTAAGGTACGGAGACATGCTGCGCGCGCCTGCCAGCCCGCACGCGCGCACGGAGAGGTCGCAGCCTGAGAGGAGGAGAGGGCGGGGAGCCGCCTTTCCTTCCCTAGCAGGAAGGAAATAAAACCCCCAGCCTGGGCTGAACCCCCGAACCGGCAGCGCTGAGCCCCCCCGAACCGGCAGCGCTGAGCCCCAGTTATGGGCCAGACCCTGGGGACCCAGGCTCCGGCGGGAGGAGACAGGGCCATGAGGCGGAAAAACGGCGAAAAGCAGGGCCCCGGGAGTCGCGCGCAATGCGTGCAGAGGACTGAATGTTGACTCTGATGCTGGGTTGCCCTAGCCGGAAGAAACAAGGCCTCCGGCGACGCTGAGCCTCAGTCCGGACTGCTCCGAACCCCAGTTCTGGGCCAATCCCTGGGGACCCAGGCTCAGGCAGAGGGAGACGGGGCTGTGAGGTGGAGTCCGGGGAGAGCGGCGAAAGGCCTGGCCCCCGGGACTCACGCAAACTGCGCGCAGAGGACAGTCTGTTGACTCTGATGCTGGACTTCCCTAGTGGGAAGGAGAAAAAAAAAGCTCTAGGCTGGGGGAACGCGGAGGGGAGCGGAAGCCCCTGCCCGACTCCAGCCAACCAGGCACCAGCAAGGAGGCGGGCCACGAGGCCCCTGGGGGCGTGGGTGCCCCTGAGCCTTTGACCACTGAGCTCGGGCAATGGAGCCAAGGCCGGGGGCTGCTTCCTGGGCGGCGCCGTCCCGCCAACAGGCTGAAGCAGCACAGGAGCCCGCGGAGAACAAAGGGGTGCCACAGGCCAACCTGCTGAGCTCCCAGGACAAGGAGGAAGAAACCAAAGAAGTTCTCAATGTGAAGAAATCAAGTGAGAGCGAAAAATAGTAAAATTACTTAAGAAAGAATACAAAGAAGATCTTGAAAAATCAAAGACTAAGTCAGAACTCAACTCACCAGCCAACATTGCAACATAAATGCGTTTTAAAAAGAAAAAAAAAGGACAGAATGTTGGAACAGCGACGGCCAGGCCTAGAGTGGCCAGGCACAAGGCAGTGGCAGCCAGACCCGGAGCAGCAACGGCCAGGCCCCAGAACAACAGCAGCCAGAACCAGAGCATCAACAGCCAGCACTGGAGTAGCCAGACCTGGGGCAGTGGCAGCCAGGCATGAGGCGGAGGCGGCCAAGCCCAGGGTGGCCAGTCCAGGAACACCCAGACCCGGAGTGGCCGGGCCCGAAGAAGCTGGGCCCAGAGCAGCCGGGGTGGGAGCAGCCAGACCCAGAACAGCAGCAGCCAAGCCCAGAGCATCCAGGTCGGGAGTGGCCAGGCTCGGAGCGGCCGGGCCCGGGGCAGCCGGGCCCAGAGCAGCCGGGTCAGGTGCGGCCAGGCCCAGAGCAGCAGCTGCCAGGCTGGGAGCGGCCAGGCCCGGGGGAGCAGTCGGGTCGGGTGCGGCCAGGCCCGGAGCAGCGGCTGCCAGGCTGGGAGCGGCCAGGCCCGGGGGAGCAGGCGGGGCTGGTGCGGCCAGGCCCGGAGCAGCGGCTGCCAGGCTGGGAGCGGCCAGGCCCGGGGGAGCAGGCGGGTCGGGTGCGGCCAGGCCCGGAGCAGCGGCTGCCAGGCTGGGAGCGGCCAGGCCCGGGGGAGCAGGCGGGGCTGGTGCGGCCAGGCCCGGAGCAGCGGCTGCCAGGCTGGGAGCGGCCAGGCCCGGGGGAGCAGGCGGGTCGGGTGCGGCCAGGCCCGGAGCAGCGGCTGCCAGGCTGGGAGCGGCCAGGCCCGGGGGAGCAGGCGGGTCGGGTGCGGCCAGGCCCGGAGCAGCGGCTGCCAGGCTGGGAGCGGCCAGGCCCGGGGGAGCAGTCGGGTCGGGTGCGGCCAGGCCCGGAGCAGCGGCTGCCAGGCTGGGAGCGGCCAGGCCCGGGGGAGCAGGCGGGGCTGGTGCGGCCAGGCCCGGAGCAGCGGCTGCCAGGCTGGGAGCGGCCAGGCCCGGGGGAGCAGGCGGGGCTGGTGCGGCCAGGCCCGGAGCAGCGGCTGCCAGGCTGGGAGCGGCCAGGCCCGGGGGAGCAGGCGGGTCGGGTGCGGCCAGGCCCGGAGCAGCGGCTGCCAGGCTGGGAGCGGCCAGGCCCGGGGGAGCAGGCGGGGCTGGTGCGGCCAGGCCCGGAGCAGCGGCTGCCAGGCTGGGAGCGGCCAGGCCCGGGGGAGCAGGCGGGGCTGGTGCGGCCAGGCCCGGAGCAGCGGCTGCCAGGCTGGGAGCGGCCAGGCCCGGGGGAGCAGGCGGGGCTGGTGCGGCCAGGCCCGGAGCAGCGGCTGCCAGGCTGGGAGCGGCCAGGCCCGGGGGAGCAGGCGGGTCGGGTGCGGCCAGGCCCGGAGCAGCGGCTGCCAGGCTGGGAGCGGCCAGGCCTGGGGGAGCAGCCGGGTCGGGTGCGGCCAGGCCTGGAGTAGCGGCTGCCAGGCTGGGAGCAGCCAGGCCCGGAGCAGCAGCAGCCAAGTCCGGAGCAACTAGGTCGGGAGCGGCAGTGACCAGACCCGGAGCAGCTGGTTGTGGAATGAACCAGAGCAACAGAGGCCAGGCCCTGAGCAGCCAGGCCCAGAACAGCTCGCTCCTTGCCTGCCCCTGCCCCACGGCTGCTTCTCAGACATGGCTGGAAACTTTCGTGGGAACTTGAGGGTCTGCTGAATCAAGTGATGAAGGCTTAGATCTGGATGTGTTGAGTTAGTTTAGGACTGGGGTGTTGTTCTGTGAGTGCCTTGGGTGGGGCCTGGATGAGGCTGGTTGACCTAGTGGGAAATGTCTTTTGTGTGAAGTGTATCATTGGGCATGTGGAGGTATTATTGATATGAGAAAATGCTAAGTAACTGATTTACTATCTGAAAAGGGATTTACTATTGGGGAAATTGAGGGAAGAAGAGACTGAACATAAACTGCACCTATGGATGAGGACAATGGGGGATGGGGGGGGGGACGGAGGGTGGGGTGGGAACCTGGTGGAGGGGGGAAGAAATGAGGAACCTTTGTAATAATATGAACAATAAAGATTGTTTAAAAAAAAAAAAAAAAAAAAAAAAGATAAATTTTAAAAAATTAAAAAAATATTTGAGGGCATTTTCCTTCAAGAGTGAAAGATATATATTACTTTTGGAATGTTTGAAATTCCTTTTGAAATTTATAGAAGTTTGCTGAAAATATGGTAGCTTATAAGCTTTGTACATCTTAATTTTAAAAAAATGCTAAACATATATAGTTATATAATTATTTAATTCAATGCTTAAATTTATCAGAAGTTGTCTATAACAAGAATATCAACACTTATATTCCTTATAAAATCTACTAATTTTTGCTTCTTATTTAAGAATCAAAGTTAATTAGTTTCTTCTTATTTATTATTTTTGTGTAACATATTAAACCTGAAGTTATCTGATAATGTTTATTTTAATTCTAGATCAAATTGTAGCTGTACCAAAATTATCATGCACAAATACCTGCTTCAGTTTCTACTTTCAGTTCTTTTGGGTATATATCTAAGTGTAGAATTGAAGGTCATATGGTAATTCTGTGTTTATCTTTTTGAGTTATCAAACTGTTTTCCACAGAGGTTGTACCATTTTACATTCCCACCAGCAATGTATGAGTGTTCCAATTTTCTACATTCTTGTCAACACTTGTTATTTTTCTATTTTTGTTTTATTATAGCCATTCTAGTAGATGTGAAGTGGTATCTCTTTGTGGTTTTAATTTTCATTTCTCTAAAGACTAGTGCAGTTGAGCAACTTTGCATGTGCTTATTAGCCATCTATAATAATAAATAATAAAAGTGTAATATGCTGATTAGACTGGCTGGCTGAACAGTGGAATGACCAATCAGACAACCTTCTGAACAACCTTCTGGACGAAGCCAGAGCTGCAAGGGCCAAGCCCCTTGCATGAATTTCATGCATCGGGCCTCTAGTTTGTATATGTCCTTCCATCACTGTGGCACATTGATGTCCTTTGCCCATTAAAATTTTTGAAAAACAGGTCTTTATTTTTTAAATAAATCTTTATTGTTCAGATCATTATAATTGTTCCCCCCCCCCCCTTGCTTCCTTCCACCTGGTTCTCACCACACCCTCTGTCCTTACCAACCCCCTCCCCCCACTGTCTTCATCCATAGGTGTACGATTTTTGTCCAGTCTCTTTCTGCACCCCTCACACCCCTTTGCCCCTATGAATTGTCAGTCCATCCCTTTCTATACTGCTGATTCTATTCTATTCACCAGATTATTCTGTTTGTCAAATTTTTTATTCACTTGGTTTTTAGATTCACTTGTTGATAGATATGTATTTATTGTTTCTTGGTTGTTCATAATTTTTTATCTTTACCCTTTTCTTCTTCCTCTTCTTAAAGAATACCCTTCAGCATTTCATATAATACTGGTTTGGCGTGATGAACTCCGTTAGCTTTTTCTTATCTGTTAAGTTCTTTATCTGACCTTCAATTCTGAAGGATAGCTTTCCTGGGTAGAGTAATCTTGGTTGTAGGTCCTTGCTATTTATTACTTTGAATATTTCTTGCCACTCCCTTCAGGCCTGCATAGTTTCTTAGAGAAATCAGCTGACATTTGTATGGGTCCTTCCTTGTAGGTAATTAACTGTTTTTCTCTTGCTGCTTTTAATATTCTCTCTTTGTCTTTTGCTTTTGGCATTTTAATTATGATGTGTCTTAGTATGGTTCTCTTTGGATTCCTTTTGTTTGGGGTTCTCTGCGCTTTCTTGACTTGTAAGTCTATTTCTTTTACCAGGTGGGGGAAGTTTTCTGTCATTTTTTCTTCAAATAGGTTTTCAATATCTTGCTCGCTCTCTTCTTCTGGCACCCCTATAATTTGGATATTGGTAGGTTTGAAGTTGTCCCAGGGGCTCCTTATACTATCTTCATATTTTTGAATTCTTTTTTCTTTCTTCTTTTCCGCTTAAGTGCTTTTGGTTCTTTGTATTTCAAATCTTTGATTTGATTCTTGGTATCCCCTAGTCTGCTGTTGGATCTTTGTATATTTTCCTTTATTTCAGTCAGTGTATGCCTAATTTCTAGTTGGTCCTTTTTCATATCCTTGAGGGTCTCACTAAATTTCTCAGGTTTCTAGAAGATTCTTGAGTAACTTTATAACTGTGGTTTTGAACTCTATATCCAATAGTTTGCTTTCCTCAATTTCTTTATTTGTGATCTGTTTCTTTGTCTCAACATTTTGGCTGCTTCCCTGTGTTGATAGAGTGGCTCTGTGTGCTAAGTATCCTATAGGGCCCAGAGGCTCAGCCTCCCCAGTTACCTGAGGTGGACACTCTTGGTGCACCTCTTTGTGGGCTGTGTGCACAGTCTTGTTGTAAGTGGCAGCACTAAGGAGCAGTGAGCTGAGCAGTAAGGAGCAGCGAGCAGGTGATTGGTAAGAAATGAGGGGTCCCTGACTGCCAGAGAGCACAGGCTGGACTGAGGGACTCTTCCCCTTCCCCGTGCACGAATTTTGTGTATGGGGTCTTTAGCAGACTGGTGCAACCACTGTGGAGAACAGTATGGAGTCTCCTCAAAAAACTGAAAATGGAACTTCCATTTAACCCAGTAACCCCACTCCTAGGAATATATCCAATAGAAACACCAATCAGAAAGGATATATGCACCCCTATGTTCATAGCAGCACAATCTACAATAGCTATAATCTGGAAACAGCCTAGGTGCCCGTCAGCAGATGATTGGATTAAAAAACTATGGTACATATCTGCACAATGAAATACTATGCTGCCATAAAAAAGAAGGAATTTTCATCATTTGCAGCAACCTGGATAGAACTAGAGAACATCATGCTGAGTGAAATAAGCCAGTCAATGAGAGAGAAATACCACATGACCTCACTCATTTAAGGATATTAAAGAACATTATAAACTGATGAACCAAAAGACAGATATAAAGACAGTAAAGCAACAAGCAGACTGTCAAATTACAGCTGGGAGGGTAGGGAGATCTGGGGGAGATAAGAGATCAACTGAAGGACTTGTATACATGCATATAAGTACAACCAATGGACACAAAATGAGAGGGAGGGTATGTATGGGAGGGGGGGCAATGTTAAAATATGTACACAGATAATAATTTAATAAAAATTTTTTTTAAAAAATACCCTCCTGTTTGTCAGCCCTTCCTCCCACCTCTTGCCACTGGAAATTGTTGGTTTTCAATCCCTATAGTTTTGCCTTTTTCTAAATGTAATATAAATGTAATCATACAGCTTGTAGCCTTTTTTATTTACTTATCAAAATGCATTGAAATTCATCCATATTTTTGCTTGTATTAATAGTTCTTCCTTTTTGTTGCTGAGTAGTATTTCATTGAATGAATGTACCATGGCTTGTTTTTCCGAAGACATTTGGGTTGTTTCCAGTTTTTGTCAGTTGGGAATGAAACTGTGATAACCATTGGCATACAGATTATGTTATGAGCCTAAGCTTTTATTTCTCTTGGACAATACATAGTTGTGGAATTACTAGGTTTTATATAAATATAGTTTTAACTTTATAAGATACTAGAGGCCTGAAATTTGTGCAAGCATAGGTCCTCATGGCTTGGCTGCCCTGCCCCCTACCCACTGGTCATTCCGGATGGTCTTTTCTAAAGGTTGTTCTGCCATCTGGCCTAATTAGCATATTAGCTTTTATTATATAGGTTAGATTTTAAACAATAAAATTCTACTTCTTAATTCTGTTTAGGTTACTAATTTTCTTCTTGAGTGAGCTTTGATAATTTTTGTCTTTCAAATAATTTAATATTCTCATCTGTTGAATTTACCAGTATAAAATCCCCCAACTCCTGTTTTTTATTTATTTATTTATTTTTGTTAATTCTCACTTGAGGGTAGTTTTCCCATTGCTTTTCAGAGAGAGGAGGGAGGGAGACATCAATGTTAGAGAGAACTGGTTGCCTCCCACATGTGCCTCGAAAGGGTTGGGGTTTGCGGGGAGAAGTAAACCAGCATTCCAGGTGAGTGTCAAGACTCAAACCCCTGACCCTTTGGTGGGTGGGCCAGTGCTCCTAACTCTGACCAGACCAGCCAGGTCCCGTGGTTTTCCTTTGCAATATCTGTAGAATCTCTGGTAAAGTTAATATTTTAAATTTGTCCCTTTTTTTTCCTGTTCACTTTGGCTCGAGGTTAATCAATTTTATAGATCTCAAAGAATTAAGCTTTGGTTTCACTGATTTTTGGCTATTTTGTTTTCTGTTGACTTCCATTCTGATTTTTATTTACTTTTTTATTGCTTTAGATTTAACATAATATAGAATTTTTTCTTCTTCTCTGTCTCTGGAAGTAAATTGACAGATTTTTGAACCCTGGTCTCAATCATTTTACAATGTGTGTGTGTGTGTGTGTGTGTGTGTGTGTGTGTTTGGTTTTTAGGTGAGAAGATAGGCTTGCTAATAAGATTTCAGAGAGTGACTTTTTCATTAGTAGAAGGACACAAGATTTTCTTTCTATTTTGAATATTGATTTTTATGCCTGTTCATCTGACATCTGTTTCTAATTATAAATGAAGTATATCTATAAATTATGAAAGTACTTGGAATTCCCATGACTAGCCCTGTGAAATTTACCACACATAGAGCTATCAAAGTTAAATATGTGATGTCCTTTAAGTGAGGCAAAATATTATGAGAAAAAAAAATTCTATTCCTCTCTAACCTTAGCAATTATTTAACCTAAGGATTATACAATGTTTACTTGAACTCAGAATATAAAGCATTTAAATCCTGAGTTTTTCTCAAATGAGTAACCATTAACTAAGATATAAGGTAGTTATGGATTTGTTTTTATTTGATATATGAGATTAAGAAATTTTTGTTGTGGATGGAGTGAAATTTGCATTACTCTTTTAGGTTACCTTCCAAAGCCTGAATTAAAATTAAGGCAATAAATTGCTCTACTGTTTGAGCATTTTACTTAAATAGTAAAGCAGATTTGATTTTCATTGTATATAAAAGTGATTTTATATTTTAGATGGATAAAATTTGCTTGAAAAATAAATTTTTCTTTCTAAATCCTTATTTTTTTAAAATTAATTTCTTTATTGATTATGGTATTACACATTTGTCCTCAACCCCGCATTCCCATCCCCTACCCCCACCCTCACTCATGCCCCAACACTCCTATTGTCCTTGACCACTGGTTAGGCTCTTATGTGTGCACATAAGTCCTTTGGTTGATCTCTCCCTTTTATCCCCACCCTCCCTTTGAGGTCTAACAGTCTGACCCATGGCTCCTTATCTCTGGGTCTGTTCTTGTTCATCAGTCTATGTTGTTCACCATTTCCCCTAGATGAGTGAGATCATGTCCTACTGGAAATATATTTATAAGAATAAAAAATGAGACAAGCAATAATCATTACGCTGAAATCCTTATTTTTTAAAAATATATTCTTGAATTAGAAATATAGATTTATAGAAATTGGAGTATTGCTAGAGGGATGTGATAATTATAGTACTACATGGAAATTATTTTATTTACTTTCTAATTGTCTAATGTTACATTTTATCTTTTAGATCCTATTTGACCAAACTCAGAGATCAATAAAGGCACAGCTTCAGAACTTTGTTAAAGAGTAAGTCAATTGCAGTGAAGGAAAAAGTAAAGCATGTAGTTAATTATTACATCTAGAAGTTGGTATCTTTGGAGAGAAATGATGGAAGAAATAGTGCATTATGAAAATATTAGAGCTTTTTTTTTTTTTGTTTTGCTTTGTGAAATGTGTATTGCACTTTTTCCAGAAGTATTTTATATAGAATCAGACAAAATGCCTTATAGTGAGTCATTTATACTGTAAAACACCTGCTCAGGATACATAGGTAGAATTATTATTAATTAATTATATAAATGTAAAGAATCCAATGACCTTTCAGAATCAAAGCAAACCTCAAGAATAGTTGAAATACTATAATATTGTAGTTGATATTAAATTTTGCATTCTCTCAGTATGGTATTTGAAGAGAAGATAATATATGGAAATGAGTAATGAAAGTGCATGCTTTTTGCTACATATGAGCCTTTTGTGTCACATTCATTACATTTCTAAAAAATACCCATCTTTTCTGTTTTTCCCCCCAGATTAATTCAGATTTTCTTTTTTAGTTTCTGACCGGAAATATATATTATGTTACAGATAAAGTTGATTATCATATAATATTCAGGATAAATTATAGATGTTATGAGCTGTAAATAGTGGCAGGTCACAGAAATGTAATGCATTGCCATTTTAGTAGATTATAATAGTTATAGTGGAGGTGGTGTCTTGCAGATTCTTTATAATTTACTTCATAATAGGCTAATATTCAGAATGTCCTGATAGAATGTATACATGGCAGTTGATGGCTTCTAAAGAGTTCTTTCTTAGGTAAACTTTATTATTATTATTTTTTAAAAAGTTGTCTGTCTTCAAGTTATTTTGCCAATTTCCCTGATAGAAAAAGTAAAAGCAATCGATGTTTCTAACTCCCTATTCCTTTCTCTTCCTCTCTGTAAAAATAAATAAATATATTTTAAAAAAAGAAAAAGTAAAAGCAAAGTGATACTATATACTTACATAAGATTATTAATGAAATCAAGGATTTCAGATTTTCAGACTATTGAAATGAATACTGTTATCCTTTCTGAGTATAAGAATTCTTTTAGAAAGCATAAATTTGTGTTTTAAAAATACATTCATGTCCTTTGGGCCAGTGGTTCCCTTCAACAAGGAATGAATGTTGTTTCTTAAAGTGTGGTCTGAGACCACCCATAGCAGTAAAACCAAGGGTGTGTCTTAACACTCACCCCTCCACCCCACAAACACAGATTTCTGTGATTCATCACAAAGACTAATGAATTGTAATCTCTGGAAGAGGAGATTATATTTGCATGTTAAATTTGCATTTTTAGCAACTTCTCTGGGGTGATTTTTATGTATTTTACTACTTAAAAATCATTTGCTTAAATAATGATACATGCCCCTGAATTTGTTTTGAGGGGGAAAAATTAATTTTGCCTTTTATGTTTCTGTAATGTTAATTTCATCATTTATTTTTACCTCAAATTCATAAATCTAAGTAAGGAAATGTTAGGTGACTTTGTTGGAATTACATATAATTAAAAACAATATATACTGTAGTCAGAAGAACTATTGAGTGTTATTGCACAGTGAATCAAATAAGTAGAGGAACATAATTAAATTCTAAGTGTTAATTTGCTAAAATTTTTGATCAAGAAAATTTTATAATGCTTAACTGTTTTTATTTTTTAGAGATCTTAGAAAATTCAAAGATGCCAAGAAGCAATTTGAAAAAGTCAGTGAAGAGAAAGAAAATGCACTAGTAAAAAATGCTCAAGTACAGAGAAACAAACAGCACGAAGTTGAAGAGGCCACAAACATTCTGACGGCAACAAGAAAATGTTTTCGACACATAGCCCTTGACTATGTTCTTCAGGTATGTTTATTATATATTTTTAAAAAATGCTTACTAGATGGAGGAGGATCAACTGGGGATAAAAGGGGGACATCTGTAATACTTTTAACAGTAAAGCTTAAGAAAAATGCTTAACGAACATGTCTTACTTTCGAGTGGTTGCACTGAAAATAATAATATATATTTTTTAGTTTAAAATTAAACTGAAATTTTGTGAAAAAAAATTCACTTGTTTGTATATCTCTCTGTGTGTGAATATGTATAACTTTGCTTGTGATTTCTTCCCCTTTTCAGTTAACATTATATTTCCCCATGTAAAAAGCATTTTTAATTGCTATATTTTATGGAGTTGCTGTGTTAATTTAATTAATATTTGACTGAGACAATTTTAGTGTTGCCACTTTTACTGGCAATAGTGAAAATATAGTTTTTGATAATTTTAAGTGATAATAACATCTTTGCATATAGATCTTTCCCCACATTTCTGATTATTTCTTTAGGGTAGATTCTAGAGATACTAAGGCTCACCATATTTCCAAAAGAAAAATATTTCTAGAATATCTAGAAGTAGTGCTCTCATGTTTTGTATTAGGTGCTGTTTTTTAAAACTAGGGATCTGGCTTTTTAAAACTAGTGTCTGGTATTTTGCCTGGTGATCTTCTGGTCTAAAGTATAATTGAAACCAGTTTGAAGGTAATAGGTCTCTAAAGAAATTTAAGAGAAATGAAAAATGAAGGCACACATTATACATACATTATTTCATTGGTGCATTATGTGTCCCTATAGATCATGGATTTTAAAGCTTAAAAGCATTAAGGCTTAGGGAATTATCCTTTCTAAATATTCTTGTTATAAAAAAGCAGTGAGTCCCCAAAGATTGTTAGACTAATGACAATCACAGACTATTTCTTAAAGCAGTCCTATCTAATAATCCTATCTAATAAAGAAGAAATATGCAAATTGACATCACCTCCATCACAAAGATGGCAGTGCCCATAGCCAAAAGATGATGGCGCCCAGTCCCCTCAGCCCCTCGGTAGTCGTCCTTTTAGCCTTGCCATGGTGAGGCCAAGCAGGCTCCTGCAGAGAGCAGAGTACAGGGTCCTCGCAGAGAGCAGACACCAGGGCCCTGCTTGCTACCTGGCTGTGGAGGTGAGCCAGAGAGCGGACAGCAGGGACCTATTGTCCCTTGCCATGGTGGTGAGGGGCAAGCAGGCCCCCTCAGAGAGCAGACACAAGGGCCTGCGGCAACAACAAATAGGTCCGCAGGGAGCAGGCCTAAGCCATCGGTAAGACATCCCCTGAGGGCTCCCAGATTGATGAAGGTGCAGGTCGGGCTGAGGGACCCAACCCGCACTCCCCTACCCCCTGTGCACAAATTTTGTGCACCAGGCCTCTAGTACATAAATAACAGTATACAAGCTAGTGATTAAAACTAACCAATAACTTTGCAAAATAGTAGAAAGTGACTAACATTTTTTCTCAAGTTCCTGTTTAATTAGTGGAAAGTCAAATTTTATTTTATTTTTTATTTATTTTTTTGAATTGAATTTAATTTTTAAAATTTTTTTTATTAGATTATTATCTTTGTACATATACCATTGCCCACTTCCTCCCATACATGTCCTCCCTCCCCAGAGTTTTGTGTCCATTGGTTGTACTTATATGCATGTATATAAGTCCTTTGGTTGATCTATTATCTCCCCCAGATCTCCCTACCCTCCCCGCTGCAATTTGACAGTCTGCTTGTTGCTTTACTCTAAGAGTGAAGTAGCCGAAACCGGTTTGGCTCAGTGGATAGAGCGTCGGCCTGCGGACTGAAAGGTCCCAGGTTCGATTCCGGTCAAGGGCATGTACCTTGGTTGTGGGCACATCCCCAGCAGGGGGTGTGCAAGAGGCAGCTGATCGATGATTCTATCTCATCAATGTTTCTCACTCTCTGTCCCTCTCTCTTCATCTCTATAAAAAATCAATAAAATATATATTTAAAAGAGTGAAGTAAACTCCCTTTATTAATGAAAGGCTTTTAGAATAGAGTAGTCTGTATTTTCTGTCTCTTAACTACCTCACATTCATATAACTTTCTGTGGTAGTATGAGTTCTCAGTCTTCCTACCCCATTACTCTGAAGTACTCATGCTAGTGTTATTCATTAGATACATTTTAATTTTTAGCCAACTTGACTATTGCATGTCACTGAAAATTGAGGCCATACTTCTCCTTGAAATGTAAATTTTGTCTTGATTTTTCTTAAACCATTTTCAGATCATCATCTTCTGTTTCTTTTCCATTTCTGCCTCCTCTGTGCTACATTAATATTGTCATACATATTGCTGTTGGAGCACTTAACCCATTCTAATTTTCTAATTATTTATTTATATGTCTTTTCTACTAGATTGTGCTTCTCTCTTTTGCCCACCTTTTCACTCTCTTTTTTTGTGTTTTATCTTTGGTCTTATTCTTTTCTGACTTTATAATTTCTCTGACAGTCTCATTATGCTCTCTTGCTTGATAACCATTATATAGAGATGACAGGTTCTTTTTTTTCTCTCTCTCTTTTTCACATAAGTATCTCATTTTTTTGTGCCCAAAGCTTAAATCTTCTTCCTAAACAGCTTCTTTTTGTTTTTTCGTAACTGATTAGGATCATCCTCTTAATCATTGAAGTTCAGATTTGGAGAATTATATTAGATATTCTCCTCATCCTCAACTACTATATCTAACAACCAAAACTGCCTTGAAAATTCTGTTACCTCTTAAGTCTGTTCTCTCACTCTTGCTATAGCCCTCACACAAGTTCTTACTTAGTGTGTGTATGTGTATGTGTGTGTGTTTTTAATATAGTGTATTAAGATGTTCTCATGCAGTTGGTCTTTCTTGCATTGTTTTTACTACCCCCATTATTAATTCATTCTCTGTTCTGTGGTCAGAGTTACTCAAACTTCTTCAGGCAAAGTGAATTATTTTTCCCTCTGCCGCCTCTGTGCTACATTAATATTGTCATACATATTGCTGTTGGAGCACTTAACCCATTCTAATTTTCTAATTATTTATTTATATGTCTTTTCTACTAGATTGTATCTTTTTCCTCTAGTGTGGTGGTTGGAATACATGTTTTTTTGAGATAACGAATGGTTTAATTTCTTTTTTTTAATCCTTATCCAAGGATATTTTTTTCCATTTATTTTTAGAGAAAGTGGAAGGGAGGGCGGGGGAAGAGAAAAAGTGGGAGAGAGAGAAACAGCAGTGTGAGAGAGACACATTGATTGGTTGCCTCCTGCACGCACACTGAGTGGGGCAGGGATTGTACCTGATATCTAGGTACATGCCCTTCACTGGGAATTGAGCCCTCTGGCATTTTGGGGTATGGGCAGATGTTCTAAGCACTGATCAATATTGGCCAGGGCCAAATAGCTTAATTTTAAATTTAATTTGAGAAGGGGGATACAGATAAAATAGTCATTATTTTCAAACTTACATATAAAATTTCCATTTTCTTTGGTGTCCATCTAATAGTTTTGTTAAGAGTTCCAACTTTCCTTTATTAGTTTGTTTGATTTTTCTGATGAGAACTATTGTCTCATTTTATTATATGGCCAAAGTGTCTTAGAGAATATTAAATATAAAATTTCCAGATTTATAAAGGTTTTCATGATTTAGCTTATTTAAATATTTGAACTTATTTTTTTCCCATTTGTTTTTTTATTTGTATGTTTTTGTTTGCTTTTTTGTTTTTAATCCTCACCCAACGATATTTTTCCATTGATTTTTAGAGAGATTGGAAAGGAGAGAGAGAGAGAGAGGGGGGGGGGGGGGAGAGAGAAAGAGAAACACTGATGTGAGCGAAACACATCAATTTGGTTGCCTCTGGCATGCCTGGGATCAGAATCAGGAGCCTGCATCCAAAGTACATGCCCTTGACTGAAATTAAACCTGGGACCCTTCAGTTCGCAGGCTGATGCTCTGTCCACTGAGCCAAACCAGCTAGGGCTTGAATTTACTTATTATTATTCCCCCAATTAAATGCTGTTTTTCATTGATAGACAGGGGAGGAAAAAAACAAAACAAAGGCACTTTTAACATTTTTTAGGGTTTGAATAATAGGTTATTTGTAGTCTCTACTTTTACTTAGAATAATTGAAAGTTAATATTTTAATTCTCAAAACTGAACAGGCCTTGAAAGAAATAAGCAGAAAAAACTAGGGCTTAGTTAAGCAAATATATTTGGGTATTTCTTGGTTTGTTTTTATTTTCTGATCAGTGCTTTAAAATTATTTTATAAACCAATAGGCAGAATATTCAGTGAGAAGGACATATTAAAAAGGCAGATGTTCTGTAATACCAGTCTTTTGACAATATTAGTAAAAAGTGAATGATTCTGTTCAATGATTTTATTTTACTAAATTGATATATAACAGATAAAAATAAATGTTTGTTTATGAATTTCTAGAGTTCGGAGACATACCACAAAATGCAAATTTCATAATTTTCTGACTTTAATCTAGTTTAAGTTTAATCTAGTTAAAATATTTATTTAAAATCTATTTAACAAATGTTTATTGAGTACTTACTACATACCACTTGGAGAATACACCTGGAAATAAGACAAGTCCTTCGCCTCACAGAACTATACTTTATTAATTCGTAAAACATAAATAAGAAAATATAAGGGCCCTAGCCGGTGTTGCTCAGTTGGTTGGGTGTCATCCTGTGTACCAAAAGGTTGCTAGTTGGATTCCTGGTCAGGGCACATTTCTGGTTTTTGGGCTTGATACCCTGAAGGGAGACAGCTGATCATTGTTCCACTCGCACATCTATGTTTTTCTCTCCCTCTCCCTTCTCTCTTAAAATGAATAAAAATATGTTTTTAAAATTAAACAAAAGAAGAAGAAAATATAAGGTAGTTATGATTACTATGAATAAAATAACAGGGTTGATATACTAGAGAGTGTGTATAGGTTAACATGAAGTTAGAACAGCCAGTATGCAGGCATTGAGGTGGGAGTAGTATTGGATTGTGGTTGAACACAGAAAGGGGGAAAGTGGTAGAAAAGTAGGTTGGAGAAGTAGGTAGAGGCCAATCACAAAGGATCTTGAAGACTGTGGTAGGGAGTTAGAAAGCTTTAAGCTAGATGGAACATGATCTTATTTATATTTTAAAAAGATCACTCTGGTTGCTGAATAGATTGTAGGAAGTCAAGAGTGGAAACACTAGTTCATAGACTATTGCAGTAATCTAGAAGAGATATGGTGATGGTTGATGATAGTGGTAAAAGTGATGACAGTTTCATTAGGATATATGTTGAAAGGTCTTGATGAGCAAATCAGATAAGAAAGATGGGGGAAAGATGGAACTCAAATATCTATCAAAATGATAGGTTTAGCATTACAATATTATGATTTAAACTCAGCCTACTTTTCTTTGAGATCAAAATGGGTTAGAATTTCATTGGTATGTTTGTCTTAACAGTTTTCACCAAAGTAGGCCAAAGGGTGGAAAATTTGAACTTTGTTTTTATTTACTTTTTAGGGAAAATGTTAAACCGTTAGGATAAACAACTTTTACAATATTGCAGTATGGATTACTTTTTAAAATAATGTGTGGATGACTAACGAAGTGTATTTTCCCTCAGATTAATGTCCTTCAATCAAAAAGGAGATCAGAAATCCTAAAATCAGTAAGATATTTATTGAAATAATGTTTTAAATATTTTAATATGAAATTACCTGTGTGTGTGTGTGTGTGTGTGCGTGCGCACTTACATATTTATTCCAGGTTCATAATTAATCTATTTATCTTTTTGTATTAATTATATGTCATCTACTTTTTTGTTTCTGTCATCTTATAGTTATTTGTGTGTGTCTTATCACTTAATACATTAATCTCCTTAAATCAGGCATTTAAATATTTAAGATTCAGGGCATACATAAATAGCATTTAGAGAATTTTTTCCTTTGTGTTGCTGTCAGCCTTTGATTTGTTCTTTGGTGTGCAGTTAGAGAACAAAGGGGATGAAAATTAAGGATCACTTTTTCCCCCTTAGCTTCTGCAACCCATGTTGACTTATTTTTTGTTCTAAAGTTAATAAGTAAACGGGCAGGGAATGGTAGTGGTGTGGCATTACACTTTTATATTTTGAAAAACTTAGAAATAGTTTTTCCTGTCTGATTTTGTTCACCGACACTATTTTTTTTTTTTTCCTCTGAAAGGGTATACTTAAATTGCTTTTGATTCTTATCCCTAGCTTTTTTCTAAAATTTGTGTGTGTGTATGTATTTGTGTTTGTGTGTATACACACACACACACACACACACACGAGTATGTGTGTATATATACACACACACACACATGCACACACATACATATACACACACATATATGTATGTATATATTTGTTACTTTTTAATCTGATAATTACATTTTACTTCCTGTTTACATCTACCTCCTCCTGATTGAGAGTAATGTATGTTAGTTATAGGAAATTCGAAAATAAAATGCATGAAGAAATAAATAAAAATACTTATAAATCTTATCACCAAGGGAGAATCACTGTTAATATCTTGATGGTGTGGGTGTTTCAGGGGGCAATGGGGTGATAAGGATATATGTAATACCTTAATCAATAAAGGAAAAAGTAAAAGTAAGTCATAAGGAAGAGAGAAAAAAAAATCTTGGTTTATATCTTTGTCTTTTTTTTTCTTCTTTTTCTGAGTGTGTGTGTGTGTGTGTGTGTGTGTGTATAAATATATTTATATATATGAACATTCCTATATACTTGTAAAATTGCATTTAATTTTTTTAAAGAAAATAGGAATAATTTCTATATATTGTTTCATAACTTTCTTTTTTCACTGATACCTCCCAAAATCATCAGATGCCATTAAATATTTTTTATGTAATGTTGACTTTTGTTGCCAGGCACAGCTCCATCATGCCGATTTACGAGGGGTGGGCAAACTTATTTTTGAAGGGCTAGGTAGTAAATATGTTAGGTTTTGTGAGTGATATGTTCTGTGTCACATCTACTCAAGCTGTGCTGCTGTTATCAGAAAGCAGCCATAGACAATATATAAATGAATGACATGGCTATATTCTAATAAAACTTTATTGACTTGGAAATTTTAGTTTCATATAATTTTCATGCATCATGAATTTGATGTCTTTTCACATTCTTTCAGCCATTTCAAAATGTAAAACTATTATTAGCTCATAAGCCATCAAAATACAGTTGGTAGATATAGTTTGCTGACCATGAATATGCCATATATAATATTAACTTCACTCATTAATGGATTTTTAAGTAATTTTCATGTTTTTGACATTAAAGTATAACATTATAATGATTGTTCTAATGAATAATATGATTATTTCCTTAGTGTGAATAAAGACAAGAGATTACTTAGTCAAAGATTATAAACACTTACTAGGATTAAGAAAAATACTGTCAAATTTCAAGGATTGCACATTTCCACTAGTAGTTTGTGCAAGTGAACATTTTCCCACCTCTTATCAATGCTGGGTATTAGTTATAATTGGGTAGGTAATGTCGTGATTGTTCAATTTTACTTTTATTTAATTCAAATGCATTTGAACAGTTTTTCCATATATTTTTGCCCACTTGTGTTCCTTATGTATGTCCTTTGTCTATTTTTCTGTTGGCATGTTCATTTTTTTCATACTGATGTGCAACCTCTCTTCGTAGTAAGACTATTAACTCTTTGTCATGTGTTGTTTTCCTAGTTTATCATTTATTTTTTAATATGCATATGTTTTGATGTGCTGACATATTTTACATTTTTATGTAGTTGTAGTTATTAATATACCCCCTTTTAAAATATATTTCAGTGTGTGTTTTTTTTTATAATATTCACAAAGTTGTTCAATCATTATCTAATTTCAGAATAATCTTTTAGTAAGCTTTGTCTTTGGGTATTATTTAATTGTTTTTTAATCTTAAAAATTTCTTTTGAAGAATTCTTAAGTACTATGAACCTTATGATCTATTTTAGATATCAGGGAATTAAACATGGGTCATCTTGCTAAAAATAATGTGGTTGTTAGAGGATTCTTTTAATATTTATTATTTATTGAATTGTTTATTTTCTTTTCATGTGCCAACTTATCTAGTAAAAGTAGAGGTGATTTTTCTCTCATGTATAGGTAAAATATAGGAAATTTGGAAAAAGAATCTCAATCCATTAATAACATTTTAGATTTTTGGAATGAGTAGAAAGAAACCTCTATAGCAAAGTGTTGATTCATTTTATTCGGTATCTTAAACAAATATGAGCATTCCCCTACTTTGGGTTATACTTGGTAATCTAGTAGGTTGTTAAGTGTTTGTGATTGTTTTGTTTTATTTTGAGTACTTCATATTTTTCCTTTTAATCTTTTCATGTCTTATTTGCAATTTAAGTTTTTGCCAGTAAATTTGGTTGAAAGTCTCATAGATATTTCATAGTGGAATATAGTGGAACTATTGAAAACTTAATTCTTCAAACTATTACTATGAAAATTTTGATCATCAGGATTTAGTCCAAACAACTAAAATTTGGTGCATTGTTAAAATTTTAAACCATTTAGATATTTCTTTTAAATAAAAATTGTCACATTTGTATTTCTAAAACACTCTTTTTTATACATATTTCTTTTTAAAAATATGTTTTTATTTATTTTAAAGAGAGAGGAAGAGAGAGGGACAGAGAATTAGAAACATCGATGAGACACATGGATCAGGTGCCTCTTGCACACTCCCAACTGGGGATTGAGCCCACAACCCAGGCATGTGCCTTCAACAGGAATTGAACCAGGGACCTCTTGGCTCATGGGTGAACACTCAACTACTGAACCATATCAGCCAGGTTCTAAAATATTCTTTTAAGAAAAATGATCCAGTTTAATTTTAAGTAGGTTTGATATTTTAGTCTCTTGTGGAATAATTTCAAACATTAGATAGGATAAGGATTAATAAGAATTTTGAAATTTTTTTTAAGAATTGATATTTAAATACTAATCTTTTTTTCTTCTGTTAGATGTTATCCTTTATGTATGCCCACTTGGCCTTCTTTCATCAAGGATATGATCTATTTAGTGAACTTGGGCCCTATATGAAGGACCTCGGTGCACAGGTATAGCTCTTGATTCTTTGTTATACTCTGATATATGCATTTTTAAAAATTGAGATATAGTTGACATATAACATTATATTACTGTAAGATATACAATAAAATTATTTTACATGCGCGGAGAGACACACACACACACACACACACACACACACACACACGAAAGATCATCATAATAAGTCTAATTAGTATCCATCACCTCCTATAATTTTAAGTTTATTCCTCTTGATCTATTCTCATATCAACATTCAAATATATAATACAGTATTATCTACACTAATAAAATAGAAAGATGCAAATTGACTGTACCTTTAAGACACCCACCAGCCAATCAGGAGTGAGTATGCAAATTAACCCTACAAAGATAATGGGTTAATTTGCATACACAGGTGCCAAGTGACCAGGGGCTGGGCAGCATGGGAAGACGGAAAGGCGGTAAGAATGACCAGTTTTTAAGAGATTGCTAGGTAAAGGGAGTTCCATGAAAACAAAATGAAAGAAGATGGGAAACTGGGAGAATGTGGTAGTATAGGCTAAGGAAAGAGTGTCTCAAAAATGGAGGGCGTGGTTAAAGTACAAATATTGGAGAGAAGGTCAAGTAAACCTAGGACTGAGAAATACCTATTGGGTTTAGCAACAGAAGGTTACTTATCTCTGTGAGAGTTGAGAGTCCTCACAGTAGGAATTCTAAATTCTTAATTTATATTTAGAAAGCTAAATTACAGTGAATAGATGAAAATAAAATGGGCAAGTAGAGAAGAGGGGAGAGTATTCAAGAAGTTGTACTGTGAAGGAAAGAGAGAGAGAAGGTGGTAGCTAGAGAGGAAGGTTTTATTTAAGGTAGTGTGATTTGCAGATGTGAGGGCCATCTGGCTGCAACATCTGTCAACCCATTGATTGCCAGGATTGATTTGGCTGATCTTGCTGACTAGGCAGAGTCTTCTTCCTCCTTTACTGATCCTTGTGAGTCCCTTCTGAAGCTGGGCTCTCAGTCAAAGAGGACCACCTTCCCCACTGGAGGAGATGACCGTTTTCAGTCAAGCTTATACAAGTAGCTGTGCTCCCATGCTAGAACCTGCAAACAAGCCCTCAAGGTCCATTTATAGGAGAAAGTTGGGTAGTCAAGCTTCTAAGACTTCAGATATACCCAAATGAAGCTCTGCACATGTCAGTCTGCCTTACTTTAAAAAGAAGAAAAAAGGGTAGTATGATTCACACCAATTTAAAAGGTAAGGGAATGGAAAAAGTTGACTCATAGAGAAGTGATATCTGAGGTGATACGAGTGGTGAGAATTCAGAACACAGGTAGAGGATTGGGCTATCTAGTTCTAGGGGCCTGTTAAACTCATAATCTCCAATAATACTAGAAACATGGGCTACATCCTGCTTTGCTCCAAACTCTCTGTTCCTGATACATTCCCAGCATCTAGGAGACAAGAAGGCTAGTCTTTACATCTCCCCAGCTCATAACTCCCCTAACTCTCCTCCAAGTTGACAAATATTTTTTCCTTTATACTTCTCCAACAGATTAGGAGGGGGAATTTTCCCTCTTTCTGCTGCAATAGCAGTGGGGTAGGATGCAGAAGTAGAATTTACTACCAATTTGACAGGCACAAAAGCATCACTTCCACACAGTACTATGTGGAAGGTACATCAAGTTTATTAGGTTGAATCTTGGAGTTTCGTGTATTGCACTTCAATCTGAATGAATGAATAACATTTATATGCCATTCAATTAAAGGCTATAAAACCATGGGATAAGGATTATTCAGTATAGGAAACTATTGAGGACATACATTTTCCTAGTGTAGCATGTATCAGCATTACCCATTAAATCGTGTTACATAACACTAAGGTATGTATGTATTAGATCCTATAGTAGAATAGTATAGTTACCATCCAAATAAAATATTTCATAATAGTAATAGTTCAGTTTCAGTATGTTTTCTTTTGGTTCTTTATTACTATTCAGTGATATGAAGAATTTATGGCCAGAATATTCTCCTGTAAAAAAAAACCAAAAACATCATTTGTGATACAGACTGAATAAAGGATCAAATAGTTTAATTAATTAATTTTATCTTTATTGTTGCAAGTATTACAGATGTTCTCCCTTTACCCTCTATTTAGCCCTTCCACTATGTTTCTGCCCTGCCCTGCCCTAGGCCTTCACCACACTATGATTTGTGTCCATGGGTGATGCATATAAGTTTTTTTGGTTAATCTCTTCCAGCCAACTTGAAAACAGGAAGTATCTTATCCTGGTGAACTTCTGAGAGCTGCCTTGTACTAGCTTAGTTGCTTTTTTTTTTTTTTTTTTTTTTTTTGCTGTTGCAGAAAAAAATCACCAGTGTATCTTCTTTCTATCTTTGATTGTAACTACCAGAATTGCTGAGTGGGTCAGCAGGTGATAGAAATTGGAATCATTTTCTTTGTTCAAGGAGTGAACAAGTTATCTCGTATCCTTGACCAGACATCCTGTTACATTTGTTTGAACCATGGTTATTCTTAGAAATATTTTCCTTAGAGGAGTTATGGACCTTTTCAAGGAGGATTTGATACTAGAAAACAAAATAAAACAAAAACATTTCCAATTTAAAGTTATAGTAAAAATGCTTTCTTAAAGTTCATTTAAATTGACCTAATGGGACTATGGTTATAAAAATAAGCATACGGGTTTTTTAAAGTCTATATAATTTTCTCTTTTCATCCCTTTATAGTTGGATCGAATGGCTGTGGATTCAGCAAAAGAGAAAAGAGAGATGGAGCAAAAACATTCCACCATTCAACAAAAGGTAGCTGAGGGGGAAAGTTGAAGGAGATTAATTTCCATTTTACTCAATAGTTTGATTATTATTTTTTAGCAAGACACTGTTTTATTGGAACAAGTCATTTTAATAATTATATTTGCATGTGAATTCCTCTTTTTGTGAAAAGTAAAATATTTTTCAGATGTCCAGGCATTTGTTTTATTATTTTTTTACATCAAAATATTTGAAACCATGCTCTTGAACCAGTTTGAAAAACATCAATTTATTAGGGCCTTAACTAATTCAAAAGTGTCCTTAGTTAAAATTTAAAAGACTATAGTTTCAGGTAGGCTATTACCAATCCCTATAGAAGTGTGTGTGTGTGTGTGTGTGTGTGTGTGTGTGTGTGTGTGTGTGTTGGTGGCGGTGGTGGTGGTGGTGGTGGGGTTGGGTTGGGAATGTGGGTGGGTAGGTAGGGGTGGAGTACACCTCAGCATCAATGTGGATTTTGGTATTATGGACTTCCCATCTGGCAGCACTTTAAGGCAGCACCCTCCCATCTTAATGTGATGCTGAAATTCCACTTGCATTTCTTGTTAATTTGCCTAAGCCTAGCTAAACTGATATTGGAGAAATATATTTTTAAGTGAAAATTTAAGTAAGAAACCAGTTTTTATTTCTGTACTAAAAGCTTTGAATATCACAAACCTGGAATTCAACCTAATGATATTTATCTTACATAGTCAGTGATATTTTTTGTGTAGTAATCTGAAAACAAAAGGAGAGAATTGTAGGTTGAATATAATAATAATACAAGCATATGACAAGATGCCTTTATCCTGTCAAGGCAGATGCCCTAACTATGAAGGTGGTTTTCCCAGGGTGAGGCTTTTGAATCACATTCCTGATCTACTAACACCTGAGATTCTTCCCAGATGTGGGAAGCTCAGCTAAATAATTTGTGGAAGTGGAGGACTGGGTTTGTACTTTCCCCTAAAAGGAAAAAAAAAAAAAGATGCCTTCTAGCATTGCTTTAAAGGAATCTGTTCTTTTGTTGTTGAGCAATCAAATCAATTTTTGTTATGGTTGACTTAGAATTTAAAATACCAGTAAACTAAATCTGACATAGAACATGTCAGTAGGGAAAAAAAAGAAAGTGAAATCAGTAATAAAAGTAAGGAAATTTTGTTGGTGATGGGTTATTGATACTCAAAGAGAAATATTGCCTACCACTCCATCTTTAAATTAGTTTCTTCTAGCTAGTAAACTAATTCCATCTTTTGTTTTTGTTTAAGGTTAAATTACTTTGGGTTGGGTAACTTTTTTAAATGACATTACCATGGAAAGATTTCTAAAAATTTGGGACCAGTCATTTTTAATTAAAACAGGTTATGATATTTGTAGAAACACAGCTGTTTGCTTAAAATGAATTATTTGATTTATATTATGCATCTTTTCATGTCTTTCCCTATTATGTACACAATTCAAAGTTAGTAGACTATTAAATTTAAAATTAATTTATTTTATTTTAAGTAATAGTATATTACTGTTTTCCTTTAAAGAAAGTAATGCTATTTTTGCTTATTATAAACATATATACTTACTTTTTTTCTGCTCTTAAATGCTGACACAAGGCTGCCTTACAGGTAAAATAAAAAGGGGGGGAAAGGAAAAAGATCCAGTCAACTAAAAATTAAGGGAAAGTATGACTAATGTAATTATTTTGATTTTTCAAGAATTGAAGTTAATCAGTTAAAGAAATAAAGATGCTATGCATAATCAATTCATGCAAACTATTTTTCAAAATGTTACATCATTCCCATCAGGCAGCACTGTATGAGAATTCCCATTGCTCCTTGCCACCTCATTGTATTGTGAGAATTTTTTTGTGTGTGTGCCTATTTTGGTGGGTAGATAGTGACATCTCATTGTCATTTTAATTTATAAGGTATGCTTTAGTCACAAATGAGCTTGAGTACCTTCCCCTATGTCTCTGGTCATTTGGATATCCTGTTTTGAAATGTCTGTTAGTGTTTTTTTCCCATTTTTTTCATTAGGTTGCCTAACTTGATCATAGTCTTCATATATTCTGACTATATCCTTAAAAGGATATATGTTTTTGATTTTCACAAGTTGTTTGTTTTTTTTTAAAGTCTTTTATAGTTTTGTGAGTGTGTGTGTGTGTGTGTGTGTGTGTGTGTGTGTATCTTTTCGTGTCTTGCTTAAATCCTTCCCAAGCCAAGATCATGACGATATATTTCCTGTATAATCTTATGTGTTTGTAGGTTTGCCTTTTATGTTTCGATCTTTAATCCATCTGTAATTGGGGTTTTGTGTATGGTGTGAGGTAGAGATCCAGTTTCCTTTTTTGTCTCACATTGATAGCTAATCAGTTATTAAAAAGTTTATTCTTTCCCTGCTATTCTGTGTTTTATTCTCTGTTATATGTCACATTTCCATATACAAGAGGCTGGCTTCAGGTTCTCTTCTTCATTGTGTGTGTGTGTTAGTTGTGCCAGTATCCTGTTGTCTTAAATATTTTAGCTATATAGTACCTCTTATATCTGACAAAGTAAAGCTTCCTACTCTCTTTTCTTCAAAAATGAATTGCCTAAATTTTGCATTTCCATTTAAATTTCAGAAGTATCTTTTCATGTATCATAAAAATTGCTTTTGGGAATTTGATTTAGAGATTACATTAGATCTGTTATCAATTTGGGGAAGAATTCATATCTTTTTTCTATAATGTCTTCTGATCCATTAGATTAAAATATTTTCTTCATTTACTCAAGTTTTCTTTAGTGTCCTTCATAAATATTGATAATTTTCTTATGCATCTTTTGTTATTTATTCCTAGATACTTGTATTACAAATGTTATTGTAAATATTATCTTTAATTTTTTTCACTGTTTACTTTTGTATATAGTAAAGTAAAATGAACTTTTCTGTATTGATTTTATAACCGGTGATCTTGTTGCATTCTTTTTAATACTAATTTGTCTCTGGATTCTTTGTGTACATCTTGGATATTCTGTGTATAAAGAAGTCATATCATCTGCAGATAATGATAGTTCATTTCTTCCTTTCTAATCCTTTGCTTTTTATTTGTTATCTTGCTGGCTAAAACATCTATCATAATCTCAACTCAAAGTCGTAATGATGTTCCTTCTTGTCTTCTTTGCAATTTCAAAAGGGAAAGCTTCTGTTAGATTCCCTTTATTGGCCAACCTTACTCTTGCCTTCTGTTCCCTGGGCCCTACACCAAAGCTTCAAGTCCTTCGGATGAGTCCAATGCCTTTAAGGTGAAAGCTAGCTTCCTTGCTCTGCTTACCTCTTTGGCTTCCAATTTTCACTCAGTCTTTGGCCTTTGAGTATTCCTTTCTGATTTGTCCAATCATCAATATATTTACAAGCTAATATTATATATCTTATCCAACATGATTAGTTACTTTCATTATATAATAATATAATCTGTCTCATTTTAAGTACAATAAAATATTAATTTGATATTAATAATAATAAAATTTAAGGCTTAATTTACCTCAAAAATATAATTGAAAATTAGAATACTACAAATGTACTACATTTTCAATGAAGTCTTATTTGATATTTTAGATAGCATCAGGGTTATTAAAAAACTGCTGATGTTACAAACGAAACTCCAAACTATTGCTGACTTAATCCTGTCTGCATAATTATATAAAGTATAGCCTCAAAGAAATTTTAAGTGAAGGAATTAAAATTTCCCTGATTTTTTCCCAAAGAAAAAATAGGAATAAATGTAATAATTCATTTATAGATTCTGTTTCATTTGATCATTTTATATTGTCATGTCTTCTTATGGGTTAATTTTAAGACATATCAGGTGGATTTTTTTTATAATCCTGATTTTAGTTTACTTCCTTTTTCCATCTTTGAAAACGCAGGTTTGGAGCCTTAGTTGATTCTCACTCTGCCTCTCCCTCAGTGCAGAAACTCCATGTCCAGCAATCTTGGCAGGTGCTCATTCAGCTTTTGTCAAAATCTTTCTCAAGACAGAAAGTTTACTACTGCCTAATAGGATAACATTCTAATTTTGATCATTGGTCCAGAGTACTTTTGAAATTACTGAGACCGATTTTTAAAGTTTTAAATTTCTTAGATTTTTATCAGATTACTTTGGAAGTTTATCAGGAAAAAATTTAAAGTGAGATTTATGATTTTAATATTTCATGAATCCTTGGGATAAATTTAAAGTTTGAATTGTATGAAAGTGAAGATTAGAATGACAGAAGGTTATGAATGATTCTATAGTCCTCATAAAAAAGAGAACTTGATATGCCCACTTTAGACTGTGGCTCTCCTTCGTAAGACTAAATTTTATTTTAGGACAAAATGCCTTTATCTTATTTTATTACTCCCATATAGTGAAGTTATTACTTTTATCAGATTAAAAAACTACAATGATAGTAATATAATTAGAAAATAGTGGTAATACCATTTAAAAGTATCTATATTCCCTTTTTAATAGTTAGCACACACATCACCTTAAAATGTTGATAAAAAGGAAAACACTTTAAATATAACACCCTGTATAATATTTAGTTGTTTGTTTATTTTTTGGTATACATATTATTTTGTGTTTTTAGTCACAGTGTGTATAGAGTTTATATTGTTTTGTTTTTTCTTTCAGGTATATTTCATATAATCACCTATTTTTTATGTCATCATCATCATCATAACAATTATTGCATAATAGTCCACTGAATTGAAATTCTTTATTTAATATGTTGATACATTTTTCTGTTATTGAACATTTAGGTCTCCCCCTTTCTTATGACTGTTGTTGATGTAACTATCTTAATGCGAAGTTTTTCTACCATTTGAGCTGTTTTTCTAGGATACATTTGTTGTCTAGCAACTTAAGTCAAATATAAAATTTCTTGTGTTATTTTGTCTAGGATTTCTCCAGTGATGATTCTAAGTTAGAATATAATGTAGATGCTGCAAATGGTATTGTTATGGAAGGATATCTGTTCAAACGAGCCAGCAATGCCTTCAAAACTTGGAACAGGTAATATATTTCAAATTTTTCCATATTCTCAGTCTTCTAACTTTTCCTGTGATTTGACAACTCCTTCCTTCATAATTCTCTAAATTCATAGCTCATGGTAATTTTCCTGAACCCATTTCATTGAAGATAAGATGCCCTTCTAGGAAAGGGCACCTTAAGAAGCAAGTGAAAAATGACAACACTAACTTAAAGTTTAAAGGAGGAAGCAAAGGGAGTTTTTATAGTGATTGGTCTATACTGATTAGTCTATTACAATAAGGACATTTTCAATTTGAGCTACCTCTCATATTTATTAGGAAATAAATCTGATTACAAATCATGTGTTGAATATAATGGGTAAATAGGTCAAGTGAACTCTTCCCCCCTTTGATTTCCTGTTCTCTATGATGTTTTGTATATTTTCACTTAGTGTTTATATATGAATTTTAAACAAGGTGATTCTGATCTTTGCAATAATTTTAATTAATTCTGATCTTTGCAATAATTTTAATTAAGTTTTAGGAAATGGGATTATTATGTGAATTGTGTATGGTAGCTGATGCTCCTTTATTCTTTTTTTTTTTTTTAACATATTTTATTGATTTTTCACAGAGATGAAGAGAGAGGGATAGAGAGTTAGAAACATCGATGAGAGAGAATCATAGATCAGCCGCCTCTTGCACACCCCCCACCGGGGATGTGCCCACAACCAAGGCACATGCCCTTGCCCAGAATCGAACCCCGGACCTTTCAGTCCGCAGGCCGATGCTCTATCCACTGAGCCAAACCGGTCTGGCTGGTGCTCCTTTATTCTAAACTTGATAGCTACCAGAAACTCTGCATTTTTTTTTTTTGCTAAATTTATTTCTATAAAATATTATTTCAGTAAATTCTGTTAAGTGAATGAATGTGTAAAGTATTTTATTGTATTTTCCCATGTATTAATATAATAAAGTGAAATCACTTGAGACATTATGGCATTAAGAAAAGATTGGGTTGTCTCAGGATAATCCTTCTGAAGAGCAGTCACTTAATTTTTTTAAATTCAGTGATGCCTATCTTTGTGCAAAAAAAAGGGATAGTAGTCAGAACAATTTTGAATTAAGAGTAGTATTGGGTTCTAGTTAATTGATTTCCAATTATTAGTTGAATATAAATTTTATTATCTACTTAAATATAATATGAATTCACTTAATGATGGAGATTTTATTTTAAAAAATGTACATTAGCAAAATAAGTAGAGTGTTCCTGGTAAGTTTAGTATATATTTTTGTTTAAATGGAAATGGCCATGCTTGAATATTCAATTTATTAAAATGGGTTCCTAGTGTACTTAATCTGATTTTTGGATTATGAGGTTATAGAGATAAAACATTCATTGATATTTTCAAATTTGAGCATTTCCGAAGAATTTGTTATTACCAAATGTTTAAGTGGTACATGGTGTGTTTTACTTGAAGTTATTTTTCTTTACCTGAGAATGAATATAGACTGGAAAAATAATGATTTTATGTAATATTAAGCCTCTTTGAGTTATATAGAACTTTAAAATAAATAATATATGAATATAGAAGGACCAACTATATGAATATAGAAGGTCTAGTTAGAAATAATTTTATGAGTATAATAAAGTGAAAATGAAAAAGTAAAACTCTTATTTACTAAGCTGTAAAAACCAAGACAATAATCTTTCAAACCTTTCCTGGCATATTTCTATAGCCGGAGTAGGAAATAAAAATGTGATTATCAAACTTTTATAGTAAAGATATTTCAGCTAGTTCAGTTTCATGAGGTAATGTTAGAATTGAATTTTAACCTTAAAATTACAAAACAATCTACTTAAAGTTTAACATAGTGAAAATCCAATAAATTCATAGAAATTATACCATTATATTAAGAAGAATGAAATGAACTTTCATGCGGCACTCCAGTGAGAAATGATGTCAGAATTCAAAATGAAGTACGGTGTTAGTGGAAAATTGCATTGTCATTTAGGAGAGTAGAAAAAAAATTTAAAATGTACATTAGCAAATTTGAATTCTGATCTAAGCATGGACCTTCTTATTTTTGTTTTTTGTTTCATGAAAATTAGCATAGACATTAAATATAACTAGAATCAAGTAGGAAATAATTATTCTCAATTGTAGACATGTAATCTACCATTTGCAAAGTGAAAAAAAAATAGTGCCTTTATAAATGAGACTACTTTATAAAGGAGAAGCTATCTATACGTAATAGCATGACACTTATTAATTCAAATCATAGGTCATATAGTTCACCATCCTGACGTTAGTAAAGAAAGGGAGGTGTGAGAGATGGTTGCTCATTCAAAGTTATACAGCTGGTTTGTGACAAAGTTGAGGCCCTCAAATCTGGCATTTTTGAAAACTTGATATGGAAATTTCAAGCAGTCTGTATTTTGATACAACAAAATACAACTTCAGCCATTAAAAAAATAGCTTAAGGGGACATCTGTAATAGTGTCACAATGAAAAAAAAAGAAAGTTGGAAGATTAACAAGAAAAAAAAGTAGCTTAGCAACTAGTCAATTTGCATTATTAGGAAAAATTATGGATCGAAAATTAATTTTATTTTCATGAACTTTTAAAAGAACATTTTGATGAAAACATTGGTAAAAAGTAGACTTGTAGGAATAGAGCATATAAACAGTAAATAAAACTCACAAACAGATGCAAAAGTCAAAACCTTGTAACAGAAGAGTTAAGTATTTTTAGGTTATAAGCCTGTAACTAACTATAAAAGGAAAAAGGAAGAAAGAGTTATCTACTAAGTATTATTTAGACTTTCTTCTGCTTTTTAATTATAAAAATTTAGAATGTATCTAAATTTATGTATTTTATAAAAAGTTGAATCCCAGGAAATACTACAAATAATTTTCTTTCCGTATAGTGTCTAATCTGCTTCTTGAATTAGTTCTCTATCCAGCGTGATTTAATATAATATAGCCTCCAAATAGAATAAAAGACTATTTGTGATATTTGTGCCTTTACTCTAAAAATCCAGGAATCAACTCTTCAAACAAATATTTTCCTGCCTACTGTCTATATTTTTGTTTCTGTGTGTGTGTGTGTGTGTGTGTGTGTGTGTGTGTGTGTGTGTGTGTTTCTGATTGTTCATGCATTATATTTAGGGGAACCTTTTTTTTTGTTATAATCACCATATGTACCAAACACAAATTTACCATTATTTGTAGTTTTATAGAAAAATGGCATATAATATTTTCAAAATTAACTTTTTAAAAAGATCTCCTTTCTGAGAGAAATGTGAATTTGACTACGAATTCTGATAGTTTTAAAACTTGATCTTGCGCTTCAGAAAATCTAAGTATATTTTGACAGCATTATTCTATAACCTGAAATTAACTGAAGAGATCATATTTTGTGTGATGTGGTTGAAATAAAGTAAGGAGTGAAAATGTCCTATGTTTCATGAATTATTGAGTTTGTTTTTGGTTGATTTCAGATATTTTTAGTTTTTGTATCTTAAGATTTTTATACATCTATAATATGTATATTTTTCTGAAAACATGTAAGTTCTACTAAAATAATATTTCATTTTCAGGCCATTTTCTCAGTGAGGCAGCTTTACTTCAGACTTAAATAGAGATGGATTACTAGTACCTATATTTCTCTCTTAACTTTTAATGACAGGTAGGTACTAGTAATGCAACTAGTAAACGGTACTAGCAATCCAACTAGTAGATGGATTACTAGTACCTATATTTCTCTTTTAACTTTTAATGACAAATTCAGAAAGGATGAATTAACAAGGAAAATAATTAAATATTAACAATTATTTAGCTTTAAGCTGGTAAAAACAAAACTGAATAATTATGTGCTATGCTCAGTCTTCATTAAATTAAAATATAGCTAAAGGAATAAAATGTATTATACAGTTTCTTAAAGCTGCTAATATAGATATAAATTTTTATTTTGTGTGACTTTGTTTAAAAATAAGATGTACATATATAGGTTAAAGATGAACTCTACTTGTGTGTGGCCTTAGAGTCTGCTATAATTTAATGAAAAGGGTTTGAGCAGGTGGGTGAGTTTATTTGGCTGATAATATTTTATAATCACTGAAGTTCTTAATTAGTGATCCCACTTTTCTTATAAAAGATTTTATTTATCAGGTTTACATAGCTATATCTATAGTGATTGGTAAGATGAAGAAAGGTACTATCTATATGTAATAGCTTTGACAACGGAGGCAGAAAATAATAGTAGAGTGTGCTAAGTCCTATAGAACTTTATATAACATAATACTAGAAGAAAATTTTTGAATATTTCTGAAATATTAGTTTTTAGATACCTAACAGTTGGAATAAATTGTATAGTGCATATATGTTTACTATGTGAAAAAATGCAACAGATTTTTGATTATTTTGTTAGATTATAAGCTTAAGCTTGTTCCTTTAATTCTTGCTTTATTTTCATATCATGCTAGTCCTTTGCTTATTTTGCACATTTGCGTTTCATTCTTTTACCACCTTTCCCTTATGTTTTAATCGGCCCCATTTTTTCACATGACAGGAAAAAGCCCGATCATATCAGGTACCAAATGGCTTCCTTCCCCTTACCCCCTACCTTACTCCAATTTCTTATTTGGCACGAGAAAGCTCATAATTAACCTGCATTTTGTTTGGATTACTTGCAATGGATATACAGTCTCTTATGTTTTAATTGGGAAGAAAATGTAAACATCTTATTTGAGGATTGAAATTATACCTTTTCATTGCCTATGTCCTCAATTTCTTTAATCTGAAAAAGAACATATGATGTGTTTATAGCTACTCCAAGAAGATTATACATTGAGTAATATGATATGTACTATATATATTAGTACACACCTACACACACACACACACACATATATATATATATATATATATATATATTAGTACACACACACACACACACACACATATATATATATATATTTTAAGGGAAATAACAATAACTAGGAATTAGTTCCTTTGGTAATAATTGGATTGGTTTTGTTGAAAAGAAATACTGTCAATTCTTAGATTTTTTTTTTTTTTTATCATTTTGTTTTTTTCCCTGTGAAAAATAAAATTGATTTGGAAATAAAAGAGCATAAACATTCAAGCTTTTAATTTTGTTAAATATTCACCTGTTTGACAACTATATGAATATGTGCATGAATCCATTATCTGAATAATTTTAGTGAAAAAGCTTTTGCCAGTTTAGAAGTTGACATTTACCCATGTTCTTGATTTCAAGTGCAGTTCTGGGCCAAATAGGGTAAAAGATACTTTATTAATTAATTAATTAATTAATTAATTAATTAATTTATCCTCACCTGAGGATAGTTTTTGCATTAATTATTTTAGAGAGACTGAAAGGGAGTGAGGCATTGGTGGAAGGGGGGAAGAAGGGGAAGGAGAGGAAGAGAGACAGGGGGAGAGAGAGATGAGAGAGAGAGAGAAGAGTAGGAGGGAGGAGAGGGGAGGAAGAAAGATGAAGAAAGATGTGAAAGAGACACATCAGTTGGTTGCCTCTTGCACTTGCTCCGATGGGGCCCAGCTTATTTGAACCTGCAATCCAGGTACAATCCCTTGACTGGGAATTGAACTGAGACTGTTTTGGTACTCCTGCTGATGCTATAACACTGATCCATACTGGCCAGGGCTTGATTTATTTTAAAAATATATATATTTCCAGCCGAAACCGGTTTGGTTCAGTGGATAGAGCATCAGTCTGTGGACTGAAAGGTCCCGGGTTCGATTCCTGTCAAGGGCACGTACATTGGTTGCGGGCACATCCCCAGTGAGAGGTGTGCAGGAAGCAGCTGATCAATGTCTCTCTCTCTCATTGATGTTTCTGGCTTTCTATCACCTTCTTTCCTCTCTATGAAAAACCAATAAAATATATAAAAACATATATATATTTCCCTCTCCCCTAATTTTGTCACCTGGAAAGCTCTTAATGGTCTTTACAATTTAATAATATTTATGGATATAATATTTTGGCTTCAAATCTTTATTATATTGAGTTACTCCAATTTGAGAGAGATATAAAATTGTATCTTATTTTTCTTAATGAACCAGTGTTTTTCTTTTTTAAAACACTGTCTTCTATTTTGGCTTTGTGACAGCTTCTGAATAGAATATAGTGTAATTATCAGTACAATGCTTTCCAGAATTTGTCTTTTTTTATTATTTAATTACCTTTAAGTACCTTCAAATTCCAGATAGTGTGACCTAAAATATTAAATATTTTTTTATATCTTGGAGGAATATGTGAACTATCTCATTTCTTCTTTTAATAAAAGTGTTAATAATAACTAAAGAGCAATTAAAATTGTATTTCATTTTACTTATATGGTTAAAATCTTGGATCAATGTAAATGAATATAGTCAGCTCTTTTTCCCTTATTTTTTAATGGTAGAGGAGGGGAGATAGTGTCATAAGATATACAAATCTTAGTAATTGAAAATTTTTTCTACTTATAACATTATGGTTTTATTCCTTAGGAGGTGTTGCCAAATTCAGATGAATTTATAGTGTTTTTCCTGAGTGTACAAAAACTGATGATATGAGAAAGTCACCAGAAACAGAAAGATGACAGGGGAACTAGGTTTCAGAAGTATGTATCTTCTATCAAGTTCATAACCAGAGGAAATGATCTCTGCCAAAAAAAATATTTTTATCTAATGTTTTGTTATTATTTTTAGAGCTTATAATCCTAAGATGCAGCAGGTCAAAATAAATTTGTTTTTTGAAGACTAAGAAGCATGAAAAGCTTTCATAGTTGTATGGGTGTTTTTCTTTTGTGCTAGGCTACTTATTTTTCTATGTAGTTTTTCATCAGGTTATATAATACTAGAGGCCCAGTGCACAAAATCCATGCACTGGGCCTCTAGTATTAGGTCTAGGGGGATTAGACCTGGCTGGTGATCAGGGACAATTGGGGCTTTTCAGTGCTGGCCAGGGCCTTCCTTCTCCAGCCTCTGGTCTCCGACTGGGGACTTCCTTTGTTCTGTGCCACCTTGGGTGGTCAGCGCACATCATAGTGAGTCATCAAACTCATGGTCTTCCGGTCGAACTCCCAGTCTCCTGGTCAAACTCCTGAGGTGACATTTGGCATATTAGCTATATATATATATATTTATATAAAACCAGTTATATAATAGAAAGCAAGTTATATAATACTAGAGACCCAATGCACAAAGATTCATGCAAAAATGGGCCTTCCTTACTCTGGCTGCTGGCACCACCTTTGCTCTGGCTGGAGCTGCCATTCCACTTTCCCATGCTGCCCAGAGGCTCAGAGCTGCTGGAGTGGTGTGGAAATGAGGCAAGCTTCCCACCCTACCCCCAGCCACTAGGCGCCTGCATATGCAAATTAACCTGACATCTTTGTTGTGTTAATTTGCATACTCCTGAATGGCTGGTGGGCGACACAAAGGTATGGTCAATTAGTATGTTATTCTTTTATTAGGTAGATGATTACTTTGAAACATAAGGATTTTTATTAATATAGTTTAGGCTACCTTAAATGATTTTTTAAAAAACATTTCAATCAGTAGCAGAGATTGTTTCCATTGCATGTTATCCCATGTGGCAGGGCTGCACCATTTTGTTTGTTTGTAGGTCTTTCCTTTAACATTTCTAACCATGTGTCCCAAAGCAAAGAAAACACAGAAGTTCTTCCTTTTCTAGCCTGCCTCTTGATGATTTGCATTTAGAGGCGACCCATTTGGTTTTATCTAGATGCTAATTTAACAAATTTCTATTAATGGTAAAGGTGATACCTTTTTAAAGTAGCAAGAAAACCTAACCAATCTGTCTAGCATAAAATTAGAAAATCATTTCCTCAGCTTTGGAGAATTAATTTTTAAAAATAGAAATTCTAAATATGTCTCAATATAATTTCTAGTGCTTTTTTTTTTTAGTATCAATGAAAAGGTAGAATCTCTATCTGCTAATAGATTAATAACTAATGTTTACAATAGAAATCATCTCACATGAAACTAATTTTAAAATAATGACTCAAATAATGTTTTACCTTTCATGCTTGATGAGAATTTTTGCTTTCTTTTATGAATGGCTTTTGGCTGTGATTTTTTTTGTTGTAAGTTTTTAGGTTCTTTTAATAAATTAGGATTAGTAAATATGCCATAAGTAGCTTAGCTTTGTCTTCTAAAGAAGATTGCAAGTAAATTATTTGCCTAATAATTTATAATAATGAGCAGAACAATATAAATATTTTGATGAATCATTTTAATAATAACTTTTATTATTCTGTTTCTATGATTATATGAAAGTAGGCCACATGAATTGGCAGTTCTTTCTTGCTTGATAGTAATTGTAAAATGATGATTTAATTTTCTGTTTTGCTTACTATTACCAAATCACTTACTGAATTACCTGCAGAAAGGTTGAAACAAAGCACCATGTATTTCAGTGTTTTAATGTATATAAATATATAGTCTTATTTATAATATAAATTTATTTCCACTTTATAATAAAAGCAATTATTTTGGGGGTAAGAGTTTGATTATTTTGAGAAACCTCAAAAAAATCTTGTACTTTATTTATTTTTTATTTATTTATTTATTTAAATATATTTTATTAATTTTTTTACAGAGAGGAAGGGAGAGAGATAGAGAGTTAGAAACATCGATGAGAGAGTGTCATTGATCAGCTGCCTCTTGCACACCCCCTACTGGGGATATGCCCGCAACCAAGGTATATGCCCTTGACCGGAATCGAACCCAGGACCCTTCAGTCCCCAAGCCGACGCTCTATCCATTGAGCCAAACCGGTTTCGGCAAAATCTTGTACTTTAAAACAATTATTATTTGATGATAGCATAAAAGGTAGCTTTTATTGGGATTTAAATTTCTGACTTTAAATGAATCAAAATATAGTAGTTTTACTTTCCTAATCTGTCATTTAAAAATTGTTCTTGACTTTCAATAGTTATTTTAGTGGCATCGATTTATATAAGACAAAACAAAACAATGTAATTCTCAAAACATAATTATTATAAAATGATTTTCTAGTGCTTTCCCAAATTTTGTTCCTAACAACAACTGAAATAAAATGTGTTGGTAAAAACTTAATCTATTTTGTATTTATTTAGACGCTGGTTTTCAATACAGAACAATCAGTTGGTTTACCAGAAAAAGTTTAAGGTAGGTGTTTTGTTAAGTAATTAAGTGAAAAATCTAGTGACTCCCCAGTTTTGGTTATTTATCTGTTTGGTTTGGGAAAGCATTTAAGTTAATAAATATTGATATGTGCAAAATTACTGTTTATTAGTTTTATGTTTGGGCATATATACTAGCAAGAATGTTCAGAAGTGGGAAGTATCCACATTCAGTACTTAAAAGCAGTGATTTTGAATCCTGAATTCTTAATTTCTAGTTTTGAGGTGGATTTTTTTTTCTGTCCCAGGATTTATACTTTTTATTTCACATGTTTCTTTGTCATTTGTGTTATAAGAATAATACAACCAATCCACAGTACTACTTTGAGGCTGTAGAAAAAGATGCCTTTTAAGAAATAACGCTTTATGGCCACTGATGATAATATAGAGATATTAGAAATGACATTAAAATGTAACCTTGAAGTAAGTTAAATAAAACCCTCTAAATTGTTAATGTTCTTTTTATATATTCATTTTCCTGTACCTTATTTTAAGGATGAGTTTTTATTTATTGGAAAAGCATACAGAAATTACATATGGTGTGAGAATGTGACAGCTCACTTTCCTCCCAAGTAATGTCCAAATATGCTATCTTTCCCTCTTTGGACATCTCCCGCTGAGGGCACTGATTCTTGTTCCCTCCCCACAATATCTTGATTTCTCTGCCCTCCCTCTCCGGTCACCAACCTTGTTGGTGTTCACTCAGAATACTACAGTTGCAGATGACAGTGGCCCAGGAGAGACCATGGGAAGTTTATGTGGAAGGAGGATATTGAAATGGTCTGTAGACACCATGCAAAGCATTGGAGATTTTGTTCCTTCAACTTGTAAGATGTTGATGCTCACAGCTTTTTCTTTTTCTTTTTTTCTCTGAAGGTTCTGGTAACTTGTGGTATATTTCTATTTCCCTGTGATTGTTTTTTTTTTTTTTCTTTTTTTTCTCTTTTTCCCTTACTCATGTCTCTTCCCACTATGCACAGATAAACATTACCTACAAACTCCTTAATCTGATCTGTGGAGAATGTACAGAGTTTAAACACATCAATAAATACTTTTACCACCCCCCTCCAATTAAGGGGAAAAAAGAAAAAAAAAAGAAAAAAGAAACAGAGTTAATTGGTAACTTGATTTTTATCTAGTTAGCTGTTAGGAATGATGTATTCAATTGTAAATTTGAAATATTCACTTTACTCGAGATGACACAATATGAAATTTACAATTAGCTCATGGTTTCTTCTATTCTGATACTTGGTTTTGAGGTGTTTTAAGAAGGATATATAGGCTTTTTCTTTTCAGTTATTTAAAACTTGACTCATTAAAGGCTAATTTTTTTTTTTTGAGGAAAGTAGTTTTTATTACATGTGAGTAGGGACTAGGAGCGTAATGGATATGAAAGAAAATTAACAAGAAGCTGACATTTATTGAGTACCTACTAATTAACTGCCAAGTGTTAGATTAAAACTTTTATTTAATTCTTAATCAGCAATTTTATGAGGCAGTGAAATTATTAACAGGGTATAATTACCTTTATTAGTTATGTCTATGTTGGTAAGTCTTGTCTCTAAATTAAGAAAAATATAAATCTTTAAGACCACTTATTCCAAGTAACATTTATAAGTATTATTGGTAGTAGTATTAAAACCTAGATTGATAAATATGGGAGTTCTGTTTCCTTATTTAGGATAACCCCACTGTGGTGGTGGAAGATCTAAGGCTTTGCACAGTGAAACATTGTGAAGACATAGAACGGCGATTCTGCTTTGAGGTGGTCTCTCCAACAAAGTGAGTGGTTCTAAACAATCTGAGAGTTGGCTTTTATATTTCTATAGCTTGTTTTAAAGAACTTTCCAGAGTAGAGAAAGATTTGTTTCACTTGTGGTGGTCTGTGCTAACTAGAAAAAAATGTCTTCAAAGTAAATTTCATTATTTAGTGATTATAGGTATTAGAGTCAGAAATTTCTGTAACTTCTACCCGGTATCATATTCTTTAAATTCTATAAAGATTATTGATGTGGCCATATGAAAACTTTTTAGTTGTCATGGATGATAAAGTTAATTCATATATCAGATTGATATTTTTATAACTATCATTTTATATTTCTATCCAGTAGAAAAGAAGTGTTGTATTTATATGGTAAAATTAAAGTTGTTTTTTTTTTTTGGTTTTTTTTTGTGTTTTTTTTTTTTTTAATGTGAAGGAATGGGTGACTTATTTCCAGTAGGTAAATTATTTCATTAATACCTTGATTTCTTATTGAATACAATATGTCCTGAAGATAGATGAAATAAAATTTTTCAACAGAAATGATTATTTTTTTGTTAGAAAATTATTGTATAACCAAGTCAGCAAAAAAACATTATTATTCTTTTTTGGTTAATTTAGTGACTGAGAAAACAATGTTATTTCCCTTTAGAAGTTGTATGCTTCAGGCAGATTCTGAAAAGCTGCGCCAGGCATGGATTAAGGCTGTACAGACCAGTATTGCTACTGCTTATAGAGAGAAGGGTGATGAATCAGAGGTTAGTAAACAATACTGCAATACCAGATGATATATTGTCAAAAGTTTTTAACTTTAATTGCAACAGTGTATGATTACAACATTGTTTAAATTTTGTTAAATTGAGGTATAATTGACAAGTAACTTTATATTAGTTTCAGGCGTACAACATAATGATTCAATATTTGTATATACTACAGAATACCACAGTAAGTCTAGTTAACATCTGACACCATTCATAATAATAAACATTTTTCTTGTGAGGAAATTTTAAGATTTACTCTCAGCATTTTTCAAATATGCTATATAGTGTTATTAACCATAGTCACCACACTGTTATATCTTCATGACATTTATTTTATAAGTTGGAGTGTGCATCTTTTGACTCCCTTCACCCATAACATTCTTTTTTTATAGAGGATGATATTTTTGTTATTGATATGTTTATTTTTAAAATCTAGATTTAATTTCTCTTTTGTTTACTTCTCTTGAATTTACCTATCATTTTATTTTAATATTTAAATATGTTTAATTCTGTATTTGAATATTATCCCATATTGACATAAGATAGTTTGATGCAAGTATTTTCTCCAAATATTATTTTAATTAATATTAAAATTATGAATGTGAAAGGTATTTAAAATTAAAAAAGGGTAAAATCTAAAACTGGAAGGCTCAAATTGTCTCTTAGTTGAAATCTTTCAGAGAAGATAAGCTTAACATGGACTCTTGGTCATAGTCTGGCTTCAGCTTCTCAGTGAGTTTATATATCCTTGAGCAAGGCCATCAGTGCGACTTGAGAAACAGAACTCACCACTTTGTTTGGTAGGATCCTGAAAGTGAGTCTTTTGTGAGTCCATGCATGTCTGCAAATGTCTTTATTCAGTCAACATATTTGTTTGATAGCTTGGTTGGGTGTGGAATTTTTAGGTTGGAAATAATTATTCTTCAGAATTTTAACTGCATTGTTTTTTGGGTCCCGTGTTGCCATTGGAGCCTTTCTTATTACAATACTATATTTTGTAGCTTTCTTCTCCAATTCTCCTGGTGGTTTCCCCCTGGAATTTCTGGACTAATCTTATGATTTTCTAATTTTTGTGTGTCTTTTTGCTCTAATTTCTGAGATATTTACTCAGTTAATAATCTTCCAAACCTTCTATTGAATATTTTAGGTCTATTAGCATTTGTTTAATTTCCAAGCTTTTCTTTTTATTTGCCGAGTGCTTATACATGTAAATCTGTTCTTTTTCATGGCTGCATTGTTTGAACTGTGGTTCTTAGCCTTGACTGCACATTATGATAACACAGGAAGCTTTAAAAAAATAAATCTTAGAATTAGAGTCTACCACTGAACAGTTGAATGGAGTTGAAACCCACGTATCAATATTTTAAAAAGATGCCGGCACCGGTTTGGCTCAGTGGATAGAGCGTCGGCTTGCAGACTGAAAGGTCCCGGGTTCGATTCCGGTCAAGGGCATGTACGTTGGTTGCGCGCACATCCCTAGTATGGGATGTGCAAGAGGCAGCTGGTCGATGACTCTCTCTCATTGATGTTTCTAACTCTCTATCCCTCTCTCTTCCTCTCTGTGAAAAATCAATAAAATATATTTAAAAATAAATAAATAAATAAAAATAAAAAGATTCCTACGTGATTTCTGCGTACATGCATTGTTGAGAACCATTATGTTCCAGAGCAAGCATGTCAAACTTGCGGGCCATGTGCCTCGTTTATTTGGCTTGCTTGTTCTAGAGGCATGGTTCTTGGGCCATCTGGTAACTTTTTCATGATTATACGGTAATTAAAACCTCTTTGGAAGCACTGAGAACAGTTAGGACTTCATTGACTGTGAACTTTGCTCAAGTCTGGACCATTTATTTTTTTGAGGAACAACCAGAGGTAGGAACTTTGAGGTCCTTTCATCTGGTATGAGTCCCCAGAGAACATCCACCAACCTCCAGCATAGGGGTAAGGGACTGACTGGGTGCTCGTTACTTGGGGTCTCACTATTCAATGTGTCTACGTTCATTTAGTCCTCTGCCTTCCACCTTTTAGGTAAATCCCATCCAGGTACTCTGTTTTAATTCACCAGAGAATGTACTTTCAGTTATTTGTGTTTATGAATAGGATGCAAAACCCTAATTGGCATGGAATTGGGGAGGGGACCTTGGATACTAACTACTTCTTATGCAATCATTTCTCCAACTTTTATCCCCACTTCCAGGGTTAACATAGTATAAATCTGTGATTTTTAGTCTGTTTGCCACAAGAATTTTTAAAATATACAGCACCTTACTATTTAGATTGTTAAATAATAATAAAAAAATAGTAACAGCCAACACAGTAGTCTGACTCAAAATTATACCTATTTTTTCTCAGATCTGAAAAAAAGAGAGTAATTTTTGATGTCCCGTGAATTGGGTGGAATTGTAGTAATTAGTTTATCTGTGCCATGATATGAAAAAGATTGAAAATCACTGGTTTAAATCCTTGAGCCCTTTGAATATTATGTGATATAAATTGGTGAACTGTTGAGATTTTTCTTTCTGCCATCCTTAGATTTGGCTTTGGTATGTTCAGTTACTTTATTTATCCACTAGGGGCCTGATACATGGAATTTGTGCACAGGTGGGGTCCCTAGGCTTAGCTGGCAATCAGGGCCAATTGGGGCCAGGCTGATCAGAGCTGGGCTGGAGAGGAGATGATGGTCGCTAGGCCAGACACAGAAGGAATGGACGCCAAATGCCAACACCGCCATCATCAGTCAGCGCTCTGCCACCACATGGTTCCCGACCTCCCCGTCCTCATTCCCTTGCCACTGTGCTGCCACTGTGGCTGGCAGATGGTGGGCCAATTGGGGTCTGCTGGCCAGGGAGGATGATGGGGCATGGGAGGTTGGCTGCTGGCCCTAAGGAGAGAGCCGGCCCTCAGCCCCTCTGGAAAAGGAGCTGCATCTGCTGTCACCCACTTCTGATTCCCTGTTCCAGCCTGGGGCCCGATCAGGGCCTGCTGGCCCAGGGGAGGGACTGTGGGAGGCTGGCTGGCTGGGAAAGGTTGGCTGTGGAAGTGCACTGACCACCAGGGGGCAGCTCCTGCATTGAGCATCTGCCCCCTGGTGGTCAGTGTGCACCATAGTGACTGGTTGTTCTGATCGTTCCAGTCGTTCTGCTTATGGTGGCCGCTTAGGCTTTTATATATATAGATTTTTCAGCTCCTAAAATTTTGTTACTTATATTTATGTTATTCCTGTTCTGGGTACACATTGTTTTTAATGCAAAAATACTGAAGATTTTAAAAAGTAGTTCACACATATTATGCCATTCCACACCTAATAGTAATTTCTTAATTACTATCACCCATTCTATATTCGATGTTCCCTGTTGTTTTAAAAATGTTATTGACCACCTTTTGTATAAAGTACGATCTTATTTATGCCAGCATTGCATCTGGTTATCTTCCTCAAATCTTTAAATTTAGAGCAATCCCTTTTTTACATATCAATGATTTAATAAAGAGATCAGGTTAATTGTCTCCATGCTTTAAGATTACATAATGGGTTGTGTGTATGCTTCATGTTGCAACAAGAGACACAATATTTGGTTATGCAATGACTGCTAATCCTGAGAACAGGCTTCTGTGTGAAGATGAAATGAACATACTCTATTTGACAAATGGCTATGTGATTCCTCCAAATGACAATGATTCCTCCATTTCCTTCCTTGTTTCCAATCTGTTTTGTTATTTTGTATAACACATCTACTTCCTGTTTCTTTCATCCCCATAAAATCTCCCTTATCAACTATTCATCAAATAGTTGTGTAGCTCAGTTTGCTATTTCATTAGAAATTGAAAAACAATTTTCTAATTCTGTCATCCCATTTACATTTATTAACTTGTATTCTTATGTGAAATACATCTTTTCCTCATCACCTGGAGCTGTTTAGTTTTTGTAATAAATGTTTAATTGTTTGCTTTTAATTACCACCTTTGGTTAATTTATTAGCTCTCTTAAGTGGGAACAGATGTTTAGTTTTTTGGGTATAATTTAGCAACTCATGAATTTTTGTAAATATGTTGGGTCCCAGTTAATCACAATAATTACTTGTTTCTTTTTTTATCCTTACTGTAAGATATTTTTCCATTGATTTTTTTAGGTAGATTGGAAAGGATGTAGGAGGGGGAGAGAGAGAGACAGAGAGAGAGAAACATCGATGTTGGAGAGACACATTGATTGGTTGCCTCCCACACCTACCCTGAACTGGCTTGAACCATGGTATGTGCCATTCCTTGATCAGGAATCAAACCTGTGGCCTTTCAGTCCTCGGGCTGATGCTCTAATGAGCCAGACTAGCTAGGGTAATAATTACTGTTTTTGTGGTTATCAAAATGATCACATCTTTATCCAATAAAGGCCCTGGGTAATGCCTTTTTAAAAATTCTCTAGTTTTTAGCAGTTTTGAAAGGAAATAAAATTAGGTGAGCATCCAGATCATTTTAAAGAAGCTGATGGGATTGCTGAAATAACTGGGTTATGCAAAATAATACATTAGAGTAATTTAGGTCAGCCTTATTCCTATTTGTCCCACAACCCCTATTACTCTAGTATGGTTATGGGGCAAAGAGGGATAAGGCTGATCTAAAAATCTGTGTAAGTTTGTAACTAGAATACTTCCAGGAGCTTTAGAACCCTAGTAGAAATTACTAGCACAGTAAAATTTATAATAAATGAATACTACAGTATAGATAGGACCTAACTTTAAAAGTTGGTGATGATAGTCCTGGCCAATATGGATCAATTAGTTGGGTGTTGTCCTGTGCACCGAAAGGTTGCCAGTTTGATTGCCCGGGTTTTGAGTTCAGTTCCTGGTAGGGAGGCGAGGAGAAGGCAGTTGATTGATGTTTCGCTCTCACATAAATGTTTATCTCCCCTTCTTCCTTCCTCTTCCTGTAAAAACTATTTTAAAAAATAAAATAAAAATTGGTAAAGATAGCTTAATGGGAGGGTACAAAAGAATTGAGGTTAC